TGGAGGAGGAGCTGAATGTGCTGGATACTACAAACGGAGCTTGCTGCTTTCTGGAAAGGCTGTTGGATATTCTGCTTCTGGAGGAAGGGAAAAGTTAGGCTGGGGTGGGAGTCAAGGAGCAAAAGGCTCACGCAAAAGTGCTGAACCTTTCCCAGTGCTGAACCTTTACAGGTATTCAGGGCTCAGAGGGCTTCCAGCCTTTTGGGGGATGTAATGGCATGGGGAGGAGACTAGGGTACAAAATTCCATATCCATATATAAAGCTGCCAAGGTAAAAACATGGTATCTTATCACCCAGAGCTGGCGTGAAGGGAACCTCACCATCATTCCTGGTCCTGGAGACAGTTTAGCCTCATAAACCTGAGCACCAGACGTTCTCAGTAGGATGTGTCTGACTGAGATCAGTCTCCTGCCCAGGGAGCTGCTGGCTGGGAGGGATCATTTCCCTGCAGAAAATTCCCTGCCCACGGGAATTTCTGGCACGGGATTAGCTGGCTGTCAGCTGCCCGATGGTGGGAAAGGGGCACGTGGGCTGCGTGTCCCAGAAAAGAGATGAGAGGTGCTTATTCTCCCAGATCTTTGTGTCTTGGCTGCTGCTGGAAGTCACAGTGTTCCCCCCTCCCTGTCTCCCAGCACAGCTGATTTATTCTGCCCAGTGCTCCAGGAGATATCCCAAATACGCCGCCACGGAGCCAAGAGAGCAGATCCTGAAACTGGAACCACAGCCCGAGACTTCAGTAAACAGGATGGGGGGAACATGAAGCATGGAGTCCAGCCAGCGTTGGGATCGCTGGGAAACAACCCAGCAGTGCTCCCAGAAATCCCAGCACCTGTGCTTTGCCTCCACCTATAGCCAAGGGTTTTTCATGGGCTGATTTGATGAGTACTGTCTTGGAGAGTTCTTCTTCATCCTCACCTACGATTGACTTTATTTTTACAGGTCCTGAGCCCAAAGATCATTTTGAGTACCTGATTTAAACCCCCAAAACAGTAGAATTTGGCCAGGACAGGTGGCAGAAGAACCTTTCCCTGATACCCCCCCGTGCTGGAGCTGAACTGAGGTGTGGATTGAGATGCAGCTGGGAGCTGGACACAGCAACTTTGCATGCCAAGGAATATCTGTCAGCCAGAAGTGTTCCAACTTCTGTTCACCCAGGCTTGTGCTTATCTCCACAATTATTTTGCTCTCCCTTCCACTAATTGCTGCTATTAAAAATATCTCTTATAAACACCCAGGAGCCAGTCTGAGCTGGGGGGGGCAGGAAGGATCTCTCTGCTTGCCTTCTTGTTTGGCATCTGGAGGAGTGGTTGTGGAAGTCATAATGCAATGTGTCTCCATGAAATCCATCCTGGTTCTCTCTGGGAAATGGGATCTTGGTGTCAGCACTCCACACTTCCTGGGAGGGCACTGCAAAGACTAAAGAGAACCATTTTAGCTGCATTTCCCTTAAAAAGAGGTTTCTCTGTGACAGTTTCTCTACTGATAAGGTGTGAGTCCCCTGCACAGGCAGACAAGCTGGAGCACTGAAGACAATTGGAGTGTGGTGGCAAAATCCTCTGGATTGCTGAGTCCTCAGGGTAGGCTGGCGGTTGATAAATACCTGGAAATGCTCTGCATCCTCCCTGTCACCTTTATTAATATTCATTTATGCTAAAGGAGCACCAGCAGCACTAACTGCAGGTACAGTTGAACATTTGTGCAGTTTTCAGAAATAGTGGGAGCAGTGACATTAAACATATGCAGGAATCCCCATAGTTATGAATATTTACAAATATTGATTTTGGCAAGAGCACCTAATTCAGATGTTCTGAGCTCCCTAATGCAGCGTGTGTGTGTCTGTCACACAGTGCTCCTCAGACTCGGGGCTGAGTTAGTCTCAGATCCAGGGATTTCCCTCGCTGAATCACTTTGTAATGAAATTTCAGTGTTTGGGAAATACAGTTGGGGAATAAACCCCCTGGCCCAGCTGTGTGTGGTGAACACAGGGTCTGAGTGGGCAGTGCCTGTTCGAATTTGCCTCTGTTGCTTTAAATGAAGCAGAAACTGATGATTTTCCTGACACCCCAACAATCCCACCCTGTGCATCCCTGAGAGCATTGTCCAAATGCTCCTGCAGCTCTCTCAGCCTGGGGCCGTGCCCATTCCCTGGGGAGCCTGGGCAGTGCCCAGCATCCTTTGGGGGTAGAACCTTTTCCTCATCTCCAGCCTAAATTTTTGTCTTCCTATAACATTCCTGGTAAGTGTAGAGAAATAACCCAGAGAAGACACCCGGATGGGTTTTCTTTTTTTGTTTTCCCAGGCTACAGCAGACACCAACAGTTATATATTTTCCTTCTTCATGGTACAATCAGAGACATGGCTTCATTATTTTATTTTTTCAAAATTTTTTTTTTCAACTTTAAAACCATTTGAAAAACTATATTAAGAATAGGCTTTGTGGAAACTGGGGTCAAAATGAGCGGAGACAATACATCCCTAATGATACTTCCCTAACCATCCAGTGACAAATTGGGCTTTTCATTCCCATTTCACTCCAGATGTCAATGAAAGCACAGCTCCTTCTAAAGCAGCCTAATGTATGTAAACCATCGCAGGAAGCAGAGCCCGCAGAGCCTAGGAGACTGCAGATGGAGAGAAAAGGCTCCTGATTCCATAAAAATAACAAAACCTGTTTTACCATATTGTGCATTAAATATTGTTCATTTGCATACTTTCCATGGCAAGGTTCTCAAAGCCCACCATGTGGTGGACTTGTTGGAAGTCGGGAAAGAGACTCTTTCCCCAAATGGAGACGTGTTAGTAGAAGCTGCTGCTTAATTAGAAAACAAAAATAGCTGGTTTCCTCTCTATTTTTTTCCTCCTTTTCTAGTTTTTTGGTTTTTTTTCCCAGTGTGGATTTTTGGTTGTTTACATATAATTCAATAGAATTAGGAGGGGAGGCATAGGTGCAGTCACTGCAAAATAACTGGATTGCTGGTGTTTTACAACAGCCTGCCTGCTTGGAACAGGCAGCAGCAGGGATTCCTCCATGGAGAGTTTCCAGCAGATAGCCAGGCAGATTGTGAATACCTCTTAGATTGTTTCTTTTCCATCTTTATATAGAATAGTGTGATTTTATTTGTATTTATTGTGCATCCGTGGCTGAAGCATTGGGCGGTACAAATGTGCAATGCCACAAATTAATCAGGAGAGACTAGAATATCTATAGCTGGAAGAGGCTCACAGAGATCATCAAGTCCAACTCCTGGCCCTGCACAGGACACCCCAAAAATCTCAGCTAAAGACATTAAAAGGAAAATGTGCTCAAGAAGAAAAAACTGGGGTGGGAGTCTTGTGTGTGCAGGAGCTGGCAGGGTTTGGAGAAGGATGGACTGAGATGTTCTTGGAGAGAGCAGATTCCCTGTCTTAACAGCCACGGCTTGGACCCTGCCCACAGCAGAGGCTTGGAACGGTGTGATCTTCAGGGTCCCTTCCAACCCAAACCATTCCGCAATTCCGTGCTCTCGATCCCTCCGTGCCTCGGGGGTTCTGCGGGAGCGGTGGGTGGCATCCGAGCACAGGCCCCCATTAAGCACAGCCCTGGAGAGGCCGGGCCTTTGAGGCTGGAGGCTGCCAGCTCCGATCAATCCCGTGGTTTATAGGCTGCCAACGTAAAGAGTGTGGGGTGGGCGCCGTGCTCCGGAGCCTCCGGAGGCTGCACCGGGCTCCAGAGGCTCCGCAGGGCCCCGGCATTCCAGGCCTTTGCAGGAGGCCCAGGAGCGGCCTGCGCGCCCGGCCCGGCCTGTGCCCTGCTGGGCAGGGTGCAGATCAAACTGGAAGGTGGGAAATTGTTCTTTAAGCTCTGCTTTTTCAAGAAAAAGCGGTTTTTAGCCCCACAGAGATCCCTTCGCTCCTCTCTGGGCTGCTGGGATGTGCTGTTTGTACACCTGCTTTTCCACAGCCTCGCAGGGCACGGGGTGTCCCCTAACACAGCGCATCAAACTGCTGCCCTCAGTCCCATGGGAATCGCATGGAAGTCCCATGGGAGAATCCCCTGTGCACCCAACCAGGGAGCTCTGGGCTGGGAGAATCCCCTGTGCACCAACCAGGGAGCTCTGGGCTGGGAGAATCCCCTGTGCACCCAACCAGGGAGCTCTGGGCTGGGAGAATCCCCTGTGCACCCAACCAGGGAGCTCTGGGCTGGGAGAATCCCCTGTGCACCCAAACAGGAGCTCTGGGCAGGGAGAATCCCCTGTGCACCCAAACAGGGAGCTCTGAGTTGGGAGAATCCTCTCTGCTCCCAAACAGGGAGCTCTGGGCTGGGAGAATCCCCTGTGCACACAAACAGGGAGCTCTGGGCTGGAGGATGCACCCCAAATTTTCCGGGAGGTTGGTGGGGACACTGACACCTCCCAGCTGCTGGGACTTGGGCAGCCCAGGGGGGACTTGCACTGGAGCAGGAGCATTTGGTTCTTCCAGCCTTGAATGTCCCATCTGATGGAAGCTTTGTAAATAATTACCTTAATTAAACATCATGTCTCCTGATTATTCCCATGAATATGGGTGCGTTGAGAGGGCCAGGGAAAATCCTTCCTGGATAAATTGTTGGGGGAATTATTTTTTTAATCTGTTGGAGCAATTATTTTTATAATTAATCACAGAATCTCCGTGTGGTTTGAGTTAGATGGAACATTAAATTCCATCTCGTTCCACCCTCTGCCGTGGGCAGGGACGCCTTCCACTAGCCCAGGTTGCTCCAAGCCCCATCCAGCCTGGCCTGGAACACTTCCAAGGATGGGGCAACCACAATTTCTACAATTTCTCTGTGCAACAAACAATACTGAGGGTGCCCTAGTCGGGTTTTATTTAAAATCAGGTGATGGAGATAAAAGGAGGCGAGTGCTTGTCCTTTTTGCCATCAATGAAACACTGTTACTGTCACCTGCCTGCAGCATCTGCTGTGGCTCTGGGAAGGCTGATGGTGTTAATTTGCTCCTTTTCCCTGTTCCCTTCTCTGCAGCAGCAGCAGGAGATGCTGGCCATGAAGCATCAGCAGGAGCTGTTGGAGCACCAGAGGAAGTTGGAGCAGCACCGGCAGGAGCAGGAGCTGGAGAAGCAGCACCGAGAACAGAAACTGCAGCAGCTGAAAAACAAAGAGAAAGGGAAAGAGAGTAAGTGGCCACAACACTACTGCTTCAGGTGGTGACAGGCAGATGGGAGCCGTGAAGGAGCCTCAGAAAGCTGGAGGAACCTCCTTGAGGGCACGGGGAGCTTGTGGGAATTGAGGGGAAGAGAGAAATGCGTTTCTCTGCTTTATCTTCATTTTTGTCTCACTAAATGCCATTTTAGCATTTTTCAAAAGGAAGCGTATCCTCTCTTGCCTTGATTTAACATTTTTTGAAGTATTTTTGGCAGCATTCCTAATGGAGGCAGAATATTAAGCCCATAAAATACACCAGATGCAAGCTGCACTCCTTTTCTCTTTCTGCTGCTCTGAATTTCACTCTTTTTAAGACATAGTCGAGTTCACAGCTCTCCCCTTTTTGAAGCGTTTCCATTCACGAGGGGATTTTTTTTCAGGAGGTTACAGCTTGTGGGTGCCTTCCCGACTCTGTGTCATTATGCACTTGAGGAGATCATTGTGGCCTCACAATGTCCCTTATCAGAGACACTCTGGGCTGCTTGTTTGGGCTTTTTCTGCAAGTGAATGAGGGGAAAAATATCTCAAAATACCTCACCAAGTTGTGCCATCAACTCTTCAGATCTGTTTTCAGATGAGAGAAGTGGTGGAAGGAAGATGAGATACTGGCTGGGAACTGGGAATAAGATAAAGCTCTGAGAACTTTTTCAATAAGATAAAATTGGGGTCTGGGAGACCTTTTTAAGTGCTAGAAAGAACAGAGGTTCAGAATCCCTAAGCATTTCCACTTCCCCTGCTGCTCCCATCAGCTGTTGATGTTTGATCCATGTGTTGCTGGGCCTCTCCTCAGAACCAATACCTGGCCATTCTCATTAGACTAATCTGGAAAGAAATTAAAATGCCTGAATCTCTGGAAAAAAGGAAGCAAAGCATCTTTTGGGTGAAACACAGAGGTGTAGAGGAAAAAACCCAGAATTTGGGGATGTTAAGTTGAAGATCCTGTTCCCATGGCTACCATTTTATTTTTAAGTTACTTTTTATTTAAGAAGTGCTGTGGTGTAGAATCATTATCGCACCTCAGTGCTTAAGGATACTTAAGTTATTTTTTCTCACATCACAAAATTTGGCAAAGAGAAGCTAAAATTGTCCTGATCTGAAATATGAAGAGTGTGAGAGAGGTGGAGTTTGTTCTGCTTCCTTGTTAACACCTCTGCTCTGGAGCCAGGCTGGGAGAGCTGGGGGTGCTCACCTGGAGAGGAGAAGGCTCCAGGGAGAGCTCAGAGCCCCTTGCAGTGCCTGAAGGGGCTCCAGGAGAGCTGGAGAGGGACTGGGGACAAGGGATGGAGGGACAGGACACAGGGAATGGCTGCCACTGCCAGAGGGCAGGGATGGATGGGATATTGGGAATTAGGAGTTGTTCCCTGTGAGGGTGGGCAGGGCTGGCACAGGGTGCCCAGAGCAGCTGTGGCTGCCCCTGGATCCCTGGCAGTGTTCAAGGCCAGGTTGGATGGGCCTTGGAGCAGCCTGGGACAGTGGAAGGTGTCCCTGCTGGTGGCACAGAGTTGAAATTAGATGATTTAGGGTTTCTCCCACCCCAAAGCTCTCCGGGGTTTTATGATATCTTTCAGCTTCCAGTAAAGGAGGTAAACCTTACACTCCAAAAATATTGAACTTCAAGTCTTCTAAGCAACAGGTTTATGCCAACCTGACAGAACACAGCCAGGTTTGGGTGTTCTAAGGATGCTAATGGATTAAGGATGACACATTCTGGAGGGAGAAGGCTTTCAAGCATGGATTTGTCACCCCTTCTGCTACTCAGGAATTTATCTCCATCTCTTCGCTTGAACTATACACCAAACTGGTGTTTGTGGAGCTGGTGAGAAATGCAGGGCTCCAAAAAAAGGGAATTTTCTCGCTTTGGTATTTGAACCATTTTACAGCTCCAAGCAGAGCCTTGTGGGAATGCTGCAGCTCCCTGCTCTTGGAGAGAGCCCAGGAATTGTTCTCCCAGCATGTCAAACGTCACCTCGTCATCGAGCAGGGCGCAGGACACAAGAACATGGCCGGGTGATCTTTTCGTTCTCGTTCCCAGTGGAGCCAGCAGCATCCCTGGCCTTTTTCTTTCCTCCCATCCCAGATATTTTCCGTTGGAGCTCCTGCCTTACGCCACAGTGTGGATGAACCATCATTTTCCACGTGTCCCCTTGCCAAACTTGGGATGCATTGCTCCGTCAGGAGTCTTGCCTGGGAGTCTGGGCTGTCAACCCGATGATCACTGGGATCCATCATGGCAGGGGAACAGCCTGCTCTCTATTGTGCAGGAAATCATGATTAGGGATTACACAGTTGACATTTTAGCTCTGCAGAATGACTGACTCCCTTTCTTTAATTTTTTTTTTTTAATGTTAGGTTTTCTGTCTGAAGCCAGAGATCTGCGCGCTTGTAAATGAAGCAAAATGTTACGTCGGTTGTGGTGTGCACACAGACTTGGGAACAAAGAGGTCCCTGTTTGCAGGAGTTTTCAAGACAAAACCTACACATGAGCCACTGGGCTCATTCCCCTTCTGCTTTTAGATGTGACATTTAGCAACTTGAGGGTGCACAAGACCCCTTTTCTTAAATAACTTTGGTTCAAAGAGAGCTGGGATACCCCGGACAACTGCTTTATTCTGAGTGTGCTTCTATGCAAGTGAAATATCCTCTTCTGGTGAAATAAACCCAATTTCATCTGTGTTTTCAAACATAACTTGTGAATCTATGCCAAGCTAAAGGGATAAAAAGGGAGAGCTCCTTACTGCAAGTGCTTTGTTCTTCTCTCTTTGAAAGCTAAGTTCTTTTTTTTTTGACTGGAAATGAAAGATTTTATTTGGGATCAATTTTAGAAATTTAAAATTCCTTCAAGTACGTGAATTGATTTAATAACCTTTTTTGATTTTTGTTTTTTAATCGCAGGTGCAGTGGCAAGCACAGAAGTGAAGATGAAACTGCAGGAATTCGTGTTAAACAAGAAGAAGGCTCTGGCCCACCGGAATCTCAACCACTGCATATCCAGCGACCCTCGCTTCTGGTACGGGTAAGTGATGCTGGGCTTTCTGCAGGCCTCAGCCAGTGCCACCTTTGTCCCCAGTTCCCTGAGGGAATACACCTGATGTGCCTGTGGGGTGAGCCAGAGCAGTGACAGGATCCCTGTGCATTCCCAACATGTGATTTCCAGGGGGTTCCGGTGTGAGTGGTTTTGGTGTCTGCTGTGGTGGTGTGACGGTGCTCTGTGTGTAGAAAGAGGTCTTTGTGTCATCTGTAATCCACAATTATTCAAACTCACAAGTTCTACAGTCAGACATCATCTTTTATAAGTACTCCAGCTTTTCACCCAGGATTTGATCCCACCTGCTGTTATAAAACTTGAACTTTAGTCAAATGAGGAATAGTTTTTATGTTCAGGAGCTGGAATTTGATGATCCTTGTGGGTCCCTTCCAACTCAGGATATTCTATGATTCAGTGAATTCCTGCAGCTCAGGATACTTAAGCTTTGCTTTTTAAAACTTTTAACACTTACTGGTATTCTTAATATCTCAGACTTGGAAGTTTTGTTTACTCGATTCTTTCCTGGAAATATCCGGTGGGTCCAGTCTGCACTTCTAATCACAACTGCCCCAACATCTCCATTTTCAACCAAAAATATTCAACTGCAGGTCTCCAGTTTCAATTTCAGAAATCAACTTTTTCATTGTACTAAAGACAGTTAGAAATTTGATGTGACTTGGAAGTTTCCACTGCTATGATTTTGTCAATTAAATAAAAAGCCAAAGTGCTTTGGATGTTGGCTTTAGTGACCTCAAAATTCATGAAATTTTGAGTTACAAAAGTAATTTCATTTTGCCATGAAATTAATGTTCAGGCTGAAGTACTGACAGTGTTTTAAGTCTTAAGAAATGAACGCGTGTAAGGGGAGGATGAGGTCATAGCTAGAAGATGTTTCCAAATTTCAGAAACTGAGCTGCAATGATATTTGAAAGCTATCCCAGCTCTGAGCCAGCACAGAAATGCTGATGTGGAGTTGGCAGAAGAATTCAGATGTTATTGGAGGCAAAGTGAGATTGAGCAGCTTTAATACAACTCTGAAAATCTAATCTGAGACTTGGGGATTTCATTAAAGGTGGTTGAAGACTCTGAGCCTCCATTTCTTTAAGGGGTGGTTAAAATAACAGTTAATGCAGGAGTGGTACAAGGTCAGTTAGAATTCAGGGTGCCCAGAGTAGCTGTGGCTGCCTCTGGATCTTTGGAAGTGTCTCAGCCTAGGCTGGATGGGGCTTGGAACAGCCTGGGATAGTGGAAGATGTCCCTGCCACGACAGGGGGAGGAATGAGATGAGCTTTAAATCCCTTCTAATCCAAACCATCCTGGGATTCTCTGTGATGCAAGGCCAGGGCTGCTGCAGGTTTTTAGCCACGTCTTGTTTGGGGTTTCAGGATGTTGCCTCAGCTGATGCTGAGAACTTTCTGAGCACCAAAGTGTGGTTTGGGTTTGTTGTGGCACTTAGGCATCCTAACACCCCTTCCCCGTGATGCTCCAGGGATGCCAACAGGCAGAGACAACACAAACCATTGCACAGAGATTTCAGGTCATACCATCCCCTCATTTTCCGTCTGTTCTGTGGTGGGGTGAGGATTGTTATTCTGGATTCTAACCCAAGATGGACAAAGCCTTGGGGCCTCACCGCTCTTTCTCAGTGCTGAATTGTCCTGCTGAGCCCTCAAGGAGGGCAGATGGCAGCAACACCGGATTTTTTAAATGCACCCTTCACTTGTTCAGGCAGAAGTTGAAGATTTTTTTTCCTTTCCATTCTATTAATTTTTATTTTTTTTCAAAAGGAGAATCAACCTTTAAATTCCTGACATATTAGTATTTATTTATATGGCATCTCATAGGTTACCAGCTGAGCTCTGGAGGCATTTCTGTCCCCACATAGCTGTGCTGTGATGCACTTGGGTGGTGGCTGGGTTGAGCACATGTGAGCAGGGCTTGCAGGAGATCCACTCCACGCTCCCACTGTGAGCAGGCCAGGCAATTAAGTGCTAGCAGATGCTGGGAGAGCCTCTCGAAGCAACACGCCTGCTTTTAAGCACTTCCCTTGGTCTTATTAAGATTTGTGAATTCCTTTTTGGTGTGTTTTTTTTTTTTAATGGAAAGCATTGCTTAAGGAAAAAAAAGTCTCCTAAGAATATTGAGCACCATGATGGTCTGACGTCAGTGGCTGTGACAGGAAAAATGTTCTGCTGGCACAGAATCACAGAGGTATTAGAGCTGGAAAAGACCTCTAGGATGATATCCCAGCCCTGGAAATGCTCAAAGCCAGGTTGGACAGGGCTTGGGATGGTGGAAACGGGTGAACAAGGTGGTGTTTAACGTCCCTTCCAGCCCAAACCCCTCTGGGATTTTGTGATAGGAAACAGCAGAGGAGGTTCTTTGGAACTGCATTGTCAGACTGTCCCTTCCCTGGATTTTAAACCCACCGGGCAGCCTAGCTCCCAGGAATTTCTGCTCTCTGGGAAACTGTCAGCCATGCTTGGGAAGCAGCCACTCCGTGTGCTAGCAGCCATGGAAGGGAGTTTAACTGAGTATTTGCACAGTGAGGAGGTAGAGAGGTACAATTATACTTTCAATTGCACATGAAATTATGCATTGAATGATCCCAACATCCATGGGTGTGAGCGCAAAACATTCCAGCACAGGTACACATGTCTGAATGTATATTCAGTGCACCTTGGTGAGCATGATTGAAGGATTAAATATCGAATAATGAAATTGTTAAGGTTGGAAAAGACTCCCAAGATCATCACTCCAGCCTTTCTGTCTGTGCACGTGGGTGTTTGAAGGAGCTCAGGGAACCGGGGATGCCTTGAATGAAGGGATGTGCTTTCAGGAATGTCTGCAAGCTCTGTGAAGTGTCCAATTTCCTCTCCTCCCAGAGCTCTGACATTCCTGAAGGGGCATGCAGACCAGGGCATGCTGCTGGAAGCAGCGTCAGACCCCAGTCCTGGAGCCAGGGAATGTATTCCTGTTTGCAGAGCTCAATATCTGTCATTCAGCAGCCCTGGAGCACATCTAAACAGGCCCTTTGAATTCCTGCACATTGCCTGACAAAGGGTTGAAAATAGCTTCAATGTACTCGATTGTGCTGCATAGGTCATGATTAAAAAAAATAAGAATAATAAAAAAGATGAATTAAAAAAGGTCTGTTGCTCATATAGAGCCAAAAACGTCATTGTGTGACTTGATGGGGCTCAGGGCTCTCAGATCACAGCACCCAGGATTCCTGGGAGTGAAACATCATTGCTGGGAGGGCTACCTTGCCATGGAATGAGCAGATCCTGGCAGAAAAAGCCACGTCTCTTCCCAGGAGGGATTTTTTTTTAAGTTTGTCTCTGTTTTGATTGCAGGTGAAGATTGAAGTGTGCGTGGGGGCATTCAGGGGTGGGGATGTGGCACAGCATGGGGTGGGTGTGGGAAGCACAGCCCTGCAAGAGCCCCAGAAATCATTTTTATTTATGTACAGAGAAGTCTGGATAATGAAGAGGGAGGGTTGGGAAACCACAGACATTCATACTTCCACAGCATCCCAGAATGGGTTGGGCTGAAGGGACCCTAAAGCCCATCCCATTCCACCCCCCGCCATGGGCAGGGACACCTCCCACTAGAGGGTTTGTGAGAGTAGAAAACGTTGATGCTCAAATAAAATTTGCATAAGGTTACATTTTTTGGAATTATGTAGAAAATTCAATGTATTTTCCTAGTATTTCATTAGCCCCTTATTTTTGGAAGGCTTTGACTTGCAGTGGAATTGATGCTCTGAATCTCAGCAGCCAACTTCTAAGTTGAGCTTGCACTCAAGGGATTACTACTGCTCAAGAAATGGTGTGAATTTGTGCCTTTTTCAGCTGGGAATGGCTTCTTTTGGTTCCTTGAAGAACCTTTGTAGGAGAATATTTTCAGCTTGGTTTTTAGGCAGTACAAAATTTCAAATTTTGTTTTGTTTTTTTCACAAAATGCATGCTTTCCATTGTCCCAAATCCATTAGTATTTAGAAGAAATATGGGATTTAAATTCTGTTTATTTGAAGTGAAGTTGTGAGAGCGCAGTGAGTGTCACCTGCATGGCTAAATCAGTCGTTCTGCTGATGGAGCTGCTCTGCTGGCTGGAGCCTTCTCCCAGGCTGGTGGAGCTCCTGAGAAACAGCAAAGCTGGGCACAAGTCATTAAGCAGGAAAGATGCAGCCAACAAACTGGTAGGAGGCTGAGAAAACTCATTCATTATTTAATATCCTCAGCAAACAGACTGTAATTTACTTCCAGCAGCCTGCTCAAACAAAGCCATAAATTATCATCTTGGTGAAGTTCAGCTGGAAAGGTGCTGAGTGCTTTGGCCCCGTCTCTGCTGAGCTCCTGGGATGGGAGGACAGGCAGGAGGAAGGGCAGGGGGCCACCTGTGTGCCATGGCTGCTGCTGGCCAGGTGCAGTGCTTCAGCCTTGGACTCTGTCTGCTGAGCCTGGGGTTTTTTTTGGGGAGGGAGATGGCTCAACTTGTGCTGAAGTTGAGATCTCACCTGTGCTGAGAGTCAGGAACATGATTTAGCAAAACCCAGCCCAGGTTACTGTCTTAGAATTTATACTTACGGTTAAATACCTGCATGAGCTGAGCCAAGGTGGAATCTTACGCTGAAAACTTAAGTTAATTACCTTCCTGTGAATTGGATTTCAGTGGATTTTTTTGTAGGAATGCCCAGGAGGAGAAAGCCTTTGCCTTTGCCATGTTCCCTACTCCCTGAGGTGGCAGGCACTGCGCTCGTCCCCTCTGCGTGTCACCAGTGTAAAGCTTGTCCCTTCTTCTCTTTCCTTCTGTGCAGGAAGACCCAGCACAGCTCTCTGGACCAGAGCTCCCCACCCCAAAGCGGCGTCTCCGGCACCTACAACCACCCAGTCCTGGGCATGTACGATTCCAAAGACGACTTCCCACTCAGAAAAACAGGTAGGGCTGCCCTTCCCCCTTCGTGCTGCCCATCCCTGCTGCCACGCTTGGCCCTCTGGTCTGATTTTCCTGAAAAAGAAGGGATGCTGCCAAAAAGCTGGATTCCAGGCTTGTTTCCCAAGCCCCCTGTCCATCTGCTTCCCCTTCACCTGTCTCTGTGCTCCCAGTGTTCCAGGGAGCCTGGGGCTGCTCTGGGATGTGTGAGGAGTGCGGGAAACATGTCAAAGTTTGGGAGATATTTCCCCAAACCCAAAGCTCTCACAGAGATCTGCGTGTCTCCAGCCCGAGTATGTTTGCTGAGTGAGAAAAATACCGAGAAAAAGTTCATTTCTTGGGGGATTTGCATTTTATGTACAAGTTTGTACCTGAGGTAAATAAGGAGGTTTGTGCCAGGGCGAGCACCAGGCTTCCTGCGAGGGTTTGGTTCACACCTAGACAGTTCTCTTTCAGTCTGGCTGCTCCCTGCACGGTGGCTGAGCAGGTCAGTTATTCCTCAAGCCTGTATTATGTAAACCAGGTTGTTTGGCTTGGCTGTGGCCTCAGCTCTGTAGCACATGCCTGAGCCAGCACAGCCTGGGCTCCCAACCCGCCCAGCTCAGGGCTGCTGCCTTCGGGGAACAGCTCAGCTGTGAGAGCTCAGCCTCGCTCAGGGAGCTGTTCTGCTTACTGGCCGTGCTGGGAATCACTTCAGGACAGCAAAAAAAGCTTCTCTGGAAAGATCACACAATCATTAAGGTTGGAAAAGCCCTCAAAGATCATCCAGCCTTCAACCAGCACTGCCAAGGCCGCCTCTAACCCATAGCCCCAAGTGCCACATCCACAGGTTTTTTAAACACTTCCAGTGATGGTGACTGACCACTGCCCTGGACAGCATGTTCCAGTGCCTGACCAGCCTTTCAGTGATGAAATTTTCCCCTTTTGGAAATGTCTCACTAGGAACCATAGCACCTGCCCTGATGGATGGAGTCCCATCTGCGCAGTTGTCTCTGTTCCCCCTTGGGTTGGTTGCTTGATGAGTAACAAGCACTTCAGCTGCACAGGAACCCAGTCAGAAATTGGCTCCAAGAGATGGGTTTTCCCTGGGAAAGGTGCCCCTGTGGCTTTGGGGGTGGTACTTTTAACTGTGCCCTTTCTGGAAGACTCCAAAAGCCGAGCTTAGAAAACTGGATTTGCTGAAGGACAGAGCATCCTCTCCTCTCTGCTCCTGGGAAATGGAAGAGCTTCCAGGCTTCCCTGGGGATTCGCAGCATTTCCGTGCAGGGAAGCATCCCTTGGCACCAAACCTATCACTTAGGCCCTGTGGGCAGCCTGATTCCAAGAGATTTTTAGCTATTTCCTATGCCTTGTGATGCCAGGTGATCCGTTCCTACCCTGTTAGCGTTACCACAATAAAAATGGGCTTTGACATGCTCCCAAACCTGCCTGGCTCATCACCTCAGGGCACCTTGTCAGATTGGCTTTGAGCAGCAGTCGCCCTTCTTTTCTTGCTCCCAGTGTCCTGGAAGGGAATTCCTCCTGCAGGAGAAGGAAGACATCTGCACATCTCACCCTGTGCTGCTTCCCAAGCTGGGATCTCACCAAAGGTCCTGCTGAGTGAACTCCTGCTGTCAGACAGGGGGAATTAAGGATGATAAATGGAGCTAATCACATTATTAAAGAGTGGAAGCCACCAAACCCATTGTTGTTTTCCAGCAGGAGGACGTTCAGCTGATTTTGGTTTGCCAGAACGCTGGCTCTTGTTCTTTTTGGGCACCAGCATCAATCTCCTGGGCACTGCTCTGGGATACATACAAGTTCACTTTTGTAAGGTTCAGGGAGAATTATTTTTCTTTTTTTCCATTGTTTTCTTTTATTTTCCTTTTAACGCAACAGCACGTCAGGCTCTGGCACAGCAATATCCTGCAGAATTCCCAGTGCCAAGAATGTTAAGTTGCTTGGAGAAGAAAGGCTCCTGAACAGTCTGGTGTAAACAAAAGGCAGGGAAGGCTGGAGCCCATCCTAAATAAAGTTCTTTATTACGGGTGAGCTTTTCAGATTTTTGGCACCAGGCAACGCTCTGGCTTTGTGTTGGTAATTTAAAACCGCCATATCATGTAGTCCAATTTTATTAAATTTGATTAAATATTTGCAGCTCAAATAACAGAACCCATCACAATACAGCTCTGATTACCAGGGCTGGAATCCAACCAGCAGCGTTGCTGGGGAGAGGGCAGCTTAGGGGGTGGTGGGAAGGCAGTTGGAATTAGCATTTCTCCCAGTCTGCAGAGCTGGGAGCATGTCCTGCAGGTTGAGACATTTTTGGGAAGAATAAATATTCTCCATCCTTGGAAGTGTTCCAGGCCATGTTGAACAGGACTTGGAGCACCCTGGGATAGAGGAAGGTGTCCCTGCCCATGGCAGGGGGTAGGAACAAGGTGAGCTTTTAAGGTCCCTCCAGCCCAAACAATTCCATGATTCCATCAAATATGCTATTTCCCTGCATTTAGTAATACTCTGTGTCTTTACTCTTATTTCAAGCATCCTGGTGGCCACAGGTTATGGGAGAGGGAGGATGTGCAGGAAAGGTATCTTCAGAGTGCTTGAAAGCCTTCAGCAGGGGAACAGCCAGCTCCTGCAGTGTGCTCCTGATGCCTCCCATGCCCTGAAATCCTGCTCTCTCTGATTTGTTTTCCTAAATTATCCTCCAGTTTCTTGGCTGTTTGGTTTCAGCGTGAAATTGTTTTCCTGGTGCAGTTACTAATTGCTTGAATCCTGTTCTTAGCCTGGCTGGGGGATTGATTTCACTCTGCTCCCTCTCTCCAAGCACTTTGGGGCTCTTCCTTTTTTCACTGATCTAGGGTCATTTGGTTGGTGCTGCTCCTGCCTTTGGTGTTAAATACCTGGATTAGCACAAGGATTTTTATTTCCTGTTCTGGGGAGTTTACTTTGCTCTGTGTGGAATTTAATGTCAGAGTTTTATTGACAGCTCTTGAGAGGGGAAATTCTAAGTGACCTCTTCTGCTCCCAGGTCAAGGTTGGTGTCTCCCAAACATAATAACATTCGTTATGTGCTGCACTGGGATCCTCAAGGAGAATCTCTGGAGAGTCCTTATGGAGTGATTTTAGACTCTGGGTTGGGACAGCCTGTTTTGGTAACCCCAAGAGCTGTTTGTCAACACCTTTTGTGGAGCTGCTGAAGTGGGTTTTAGCAGAGCTTTTCAGTTTTGCATTTCCAAGGAATCGTGTCCTCATTTTCTCCCCAGGAAAGAGATTGTTGATGGCATTCCTGCTTTCTGAAATTTGAGCAGTGATGTATTAGAACATGCTGTTACTTAGAAAGCTGACACCACTACCATCATGAAGATTTAAAGGGAATTATTTCACTTCTTAGCATGCTTTTCCTCTTGATGATCTTAGAGGGCTTTTCCAACCTAAATGGTTGGTGACTCCATGGTTCTTTTTCCATGCAGAAGAGAGGAACGTGAGAGAGGAAAGCATCCAGCATCCTGTGGTGTTGTTGGTATTGCAGGAAACTGGAGTTGTTTGGGTATTATTTGCTGTCCAATAATTTGCAGCTAAGTAGGTGAAATTGGTGTGAACTTGGTGATTTAGAGACTAATAAAAGGGAAAATGAAAGGGTTTGTCAACAATTATAATGCTGCATTTGTCAAGGAAAGCGTAATGTCCCTCTGAACTGGTTCTGATTATTGGAGTGTTTGGAGTGGTTTGTTTTAGGACAAAAGGTTGTTTGGAAGAAAATAGACTAGTCAGAAACCCTGGTGTAATGTGGGAGTATAATCCAGAGGAAATCTTGGAGCTCTGTGTGGCATGGAATGTCACTCCAGTTCGAGAGCATCTCTGCCTTCCCACCCACATTGTCCTTCCAGCCAGCATGGAAGCTTGGCTTCCCACAGATCCACACACTGACAGGAAGCCCTGACTCCCAGAGAAATCCCTGCTGGAAATACCCTGTGCTGCTCCAAGTGGAGGATGTCAGTCTGTCTGATCCAAAAATAACACTTAGCTTGGATACTGGGGAAGATTTCTTCCCTGGGAAGGTGGTCAGGCACTGGAGCAGGCTGCCCAGGGCAGTGATGGAATCACCATCCCTGGAAGTGTTCAAAAAATGGGATGTGGCACTGGGGGACAGGGTTTGTGGTGATGATGGATTGATGGCTGGACTTGGTCACTTCAGAAGTCTTGCCCAGCCTTAATGATTGTGGAATTGTGAATACACTTCTTGTGAGTGGTGCACCAGAAGAGAAACTTCTTCCAGGAGGAGACCAAACAAAATCTTGTGGTTTAGTGTCACCTTTGTGGGATCCCAGTCACTCAGGGAACCCACCCTCCTCCTCCTCCTTGGTCCTTCCAGCTCCATCTCTGCTTCCCAGGGGCTGGCAGGGGCCTACACTGTTCATGGAATCCCAGGATTGGGGTGGAAGGAAACTCAAAGCCCATCCCATTCCACCCCCTGCCATGGCAGGGACACCTTCAACTGTCCCAGGTGGTTCCAAGCCCCAGTGTCCAACCTGGCCTGGGCACTGCCAGGGATCCAGGGGCAGCCACAGCTGCTCTGGGCACCCTGTGCCAGGGCCTGCCCACCCTCACAGGGAAAAATTCCTTCCCAATCTCCCACCTAACCCTGCCCTCCTTCAGCTTAAGCTCCCTCCCTTCATGGAGTTTTCTTATGGATGTTAGAAGGGAGACAAGATCATTCTGTTGCCTGACTAGTAAAGCTTTTGCCTGACTAGTAAAGCTTTGGCTACAACTTACTACTACTACTACTACTACTACTACTACTAATAATAATAATAATAATAATACATCCCTTTCCAGTCCCCACCTGCTGAAATGAACATGTTCAAGGACAGGGAGCAGAGCTTTCATGCTGCATTGTTTGCTTTTATTCCACAAATGTAGATGGGCAGTGGGGACAGTGCAAATTCTGCCTGGGACTTGGTGGGGTTTTGACTTCCACAGACTTAATGTCCAATTAGTTCAGCAGCTTAGGGGCTGCAATTCTAGGAAAAAAACAATGGAAATGACATAAATGTTGGAAGAATTGGATTACATGGGTCCTGCTGCACACAGTGATGTAAAATAGGGGTAACTTGGTTTGGAGCCTGTGAAAACCAGGGGAGCTTTTGGCTTATGTTCTGGTTATTAATTTACTTGGAGGAAAACAAAATATTCTTTGTATAAATCCTTATTATAGACCAAATTAAGTATGTCAGTGCTAAAGAAATCCCACTGGCTTTGTGGGAGCTGACTCAGATTTGGACATGGGCTTCATTTGTTTGCTGGAGGGGAATTTTTCTAATTTTATGGCATTTGTTTTAATACTTCACCTGGAGATGTAGAGGAGAAGTAATTTTTTAACTTAGGTTTGGTAGTTTAGTCTCCAGTTTTTAAATTCACTCCAGTTAGCAAGGCTTTGTTTGGGCATATTGCCTGGCAGGGTGAATTTGGGGAGATTTCCAGTGGAATTGGTGTTCCTGAGGCGGCATTGAACCTGCGTTGACTGTCAGGTATTGATGCTTCTGGGTTGTTTAAATTCCTGTTTTACACTTGTGAAAGACAGCTCTCTTCAGCTTTAAAATATTTTTATTATATAATAGTTTAAGAAACCATGTGAACAAGCCTAAATTATTTTACTATAAAAGAGGTTTTATGTAAATTCTGTGAGTTTGAGGCTGTGCTGTGCTGCCTGTGCTGAATTTTAATTCACCTACTTTGGGCTCTGGAGCACCCAATTAAAGCCATGTAGGGATTATGCTCTCTGAGGTCCTGATGCCATGTTAGATTTGGGATTATATCTGAGGGATAAACAATAAAATCAGAGCAGGGCTTTAAATAGACCTTTTGGTGTTTCGAAACTCGATCCTCTAGCAGAAGGAGAAAACACAGAGTGATTTTGCCTTAAAATAGTTTAATCTGACAAATTCCAATACGTTGCTTTGGCAATCACTTACGCTGGAGGTATTTTCTCTTGAAGCTGTCATTTTCTATGCTTGTTCACCTCTTTGTTATATGGGAGGAGATTTTTGTTGTGGCTTAAAATATGGGGTGTCTTAGGTAATCTGTGACCCCAAATCTTTTGTTTCCTTACCCATTTTTAAGGTGTTTCAAACCGATTCCTTCTGTGTATTTAAAAGCCACCTAATTAATTGTGTGTTCCCAACAGAAACCATCCCTCATCTGAACACCAAGAATTAAATTTGGGCTGAAATACAGTTTTTATTGCCATGTTTTCCTGTGTCAGAGGACAGATCCTTCCAACAGGTGTGGCATTGGCTTAGATTTCCTTGATTTAAAATGGGCATATCAGCATCCAGCTGTGGCACCTTCCCCTTCCACAGAATCCCAGAGTGGTTTTGTTGGAGGGGACCTTAGAGATCATCTCATCCCAGCCATGAGTGTGGCATCAAGGCAGCTATTAATGCTGAGAAATTGGAACAAATTAAAGCTGGGAATGTAGGGATGTGGGATGGGGTGTGTACCCAAACACTGCTTTTAAAATCATGCCAACTTCTGTTTCGAAGAGAACTCAGAGAAGTTGCTGCTTGAAGCCTGAGCTTGTGTTTGAACTGGTCCAGTCTTTAATATTGCCCTGGGAGCAGATTTGCATTCAGTCCCCTGCTATTTTAAATGCAAATTCTCTCTCTGGAAGATAATTCCCCCCTTGCTAATGCACTTCATTCAGCATTTGAAGCATCATCTTGAGGAAGCACATTTTTTTTTACTGCTCCCTTTATCTCTTGCCGGCATTTTTCTGTCCAAAACATTCAGGAAAAAGCTCTTTCCTTTCTTTTTTAATTTTTCTTTCCCCCCAAAATTCCATCAAAGCGCTGTGTTGCTGACTTAACTTCAAACATTTGATCTTGAATTCATCAGCCTTCTGATTTTTTGAGCCCTGCAATTAACGTGGACAGGCTTGATCTTTGATGTGACCCGGTGGTCAAGGGAAACATAGCTGCAGCCAGACTGAGTTAATTCAAACCACTTTGTAAACCCTGTTTTAATTCTCCTAAAGAAATGTAGATCATTGGCCCTGGAGTGTGTTGGTTGGTAATGGAGTGAGCACAGGATTTGCTGGTTCAAAGGGATTAAGCAGTGGGGCTGTTGAGGAAGGGAAAGGATGGGGCTGGTTCTCTCAGCTCTGTCAGGAGCTCTCAAACCCTACAGCAGGTGTTTCACTCAAGGCTCAGGAGATCAGAAAGCTCCCAGAGGAAATAATCTCGCAGGAGGAGTGTTGAATTAAAGCTTTGTGACCCTGATGGAGATTCGATAACGCATGCGCTGTCACCGGCTGTCCTGGCCCCAGGGCTGCTGGGGCTTCCCAGGAGCTCTGCCTTGACCTTTTGGGATCTCAGGATTTGTGTTTTGGAGGGAGTCTCTCCAAAGCGTGGTGTACACAAGGCTGTGGTCACCGGAAATGCATCCACACCTGCCCTGGGCAGTCTGGAACTTCCCAGGTGTGTTGTATGCTGTTAGATAGGGTTGAACTGTGGGGCTGTGATGATGTAACCCCAAGTTGCTTCCCAAACAAACAAACAAATCTCCTCCTCCCTGGCAGTGGCTTTCCTTGGCCACTCTCTCGTGCCCTTTCCCTTGAGTTGACGCTGGCTCCAGCTGACACAAGGAACCAGCAGGGAGGCAATCACCTGATTTGCTTCTGGGGTTTGATTTTGGTGTTTTCTTTTCCCCTGCCGTGGCGTCCCTCCCTCAGCCAGCTCACCCTGGGGTTGGATGACTACAAGGGTGTGGAGCTGCCTGCTCCAGCAGCACATCAGAGATAACCAACAGCAGCATCTCAGCTGGCTCAGCCATTCCTCTGCTGGATCCCAGCAGCTGGGTTTGCTGCTGGGTTAGGCAGAGGTGGGAAACTCTGCACTAACCCCGAGTCTGTGTCTTCGTTCAGAGAAGACTTTGCAGGATGATTATTACATTTTTAAGTCAGATGCCTGTCGTTGATGTTGAATTCAGACATTGCATGAGCTGGGACCTGTTTGTTGTATTAAAAATCTGTGTTCCAAATATTTGTTAGCAAATTACTTAATTTAATTTAGCTTCCTGCAAATGCTTGCCTGCAGCCAACTTGGTTCAGCTCAACTCAACACAACTCAGCTCGACTCAATTAAATACAACTCAGCTCAGCTCAACTGCAGGCTCAGTAAAACACTGCTGAGGTGCTCCTAACACTGTTTCCTTTGCTGGCCAGCCTCTGAGCCCAACCTGAAGCTGCGCTCCAGACTAAAGCAGAAGGTGGCTGAGAGGAGGAGCAGCCCCCTCCTGCGCAGGAAGGACGGGCCCGTGGTGACGGCGCTCAAGAAGCGCCCGCTGGACGTCACAGGTACGGCGGGTAAGTGACAATTCCTCAGTCCTTCACCCCCTTCTCCTTTTCCAGAATGCCTTGCTGTCTCCTTTGTGTGCTTCAGCAGTGCTGGAACCAAGCTGAGGGCACTGGAATTGTCCATCCTGGGGAGGCTGAGGTCAGGCCCCCGTCCCCATCCGCAGCTCTTGTCTCTGCTCCCTTTGACTAGGGACACACCTGGAGCTGTGTCAGTTAGGAGGGAAAATAGAAAAAGGTTCTTGATTGAGGAGTTTTATACATACAGCTGTATTAAACTTGTTTTTTGACTACTCAACTGACAGTTTCTTGTTGAAAAGTCCTGTCCTTCCAAGACCAAAGTTTGCAAGTGGGATCAGAGAGAAGAACGTGATGAGATTACCATAAAGTTAATTCTTAGCACCATCTAGGGATGTCTCTGTGTAAGTACCACCCAGTGACAGCTTTGCCAGGCTTGTCTGGCTCTGGGGCACACAATCATCACTCCATCAAACTCAAAGTGAGCTCCCTTTAGACAGGGGGTGGGGTTGGGAGGCCCTGGGGTGCCTCAGCTCTTCTCTGTGTCAGAGCCTCTCTGTTTGCAGAGGGGAAGGAAGATTTCAAGAGCTAAAAGTTGTGGAATCATAAAATACCCCAAGTTGGAAGGCACCCACCAGGATAATCCAGTCCAACTTTAAGCCTGCACAGGACACCCCAAAAATCCCAGCCTGTGCCTGAGAGTGTTTTCCATGAGCTCTGGCAGCCTTTCAGACCTGAAAATCCAATTTTTTTCACTTGCACAATGCTGTATGGCACATGGCTCCTGGGATAAAAAAAAAATCAGCCTCTGCTGGCTGACCATTTTTCCCTGCAATGACTTCAGAAATGGCAGTGGAAGCTCCCATTTCTCACTGGCATGGACATGTTCAAGAAGCCAGACTGGAGCCTGTTGGAAAAGTGTCTGAGTTGTCATGGTAAGAGGGGTCTTTTAAATGAAAAATAAGTTTTAAAAACAGTCCCACTTTGTGGAATAGAAATTATGTTTAATCCCTGAAGAGCACAGGGGGTTCCACTTGACCAGGTTGCTCCACCCTGGTTTTGAGCACTTCCAGGGATGGGGCAGACACAGTTTCTTCAGACACCCTGTGCCAGGGCTTTATCACCCTCAGAGAGAATTATTTCTTCCTGCAATTCCCTCTGAGCCTGCCCTGTGGCAGTAGGAAGCCATTCCCCCTGTCCTGTCCCTCCAGGCCCTTGTAAAAATTAGCTTTTATTCCTCCTGGAGCAATGAGGAGCCTGCTGCAGCCTCAGCCACTGCAGCTGCTGGGGGATTCTCCTGCTGCAAAATGGTTGAGGATGAGGAAAGTTCAGAAGAAAAGGTTTGAATGTTATTAACCTTCCCCAACAAAAGGAGGAACGCTAGCAGCTGTGCCATAGAGCAGGTGAGAGTTTTTCTGAGGGAGGTCTGATGGAAGGAGGTGCCTTTAGGGTTAGAGGGAAAGAGGGGGAGAAAGGCACTTCCAGAAGAATGAAGCAGAACAACTCCGACATCCTCCAGTCTGACCTCTTCAAACCTTCCATGCCTTTTATTATCTTTCAATCATATTTCAAGTTATTAATACATTCTAAGAGAAATCCCCATGGGGAGAAGACTTAAATATGCTGAGTAGGTACTTGGATAAACCATCTGAAAGTGTTTGTTGGTATTTTAAGAGCCCTGGGAAGATACAGGGGGAAGAAGGGAGGGAGGAGGAGGAGGGCTGCTTTCATCCAAAACAAAACTTGAGGGGTTGTTATCTGTCTAAATACCATCACAGAGATGGTTTCTAATGTTACAAGTTGGTTTTGGATGTGTTTTTCAGACTCTGCATGCAACAGTGCTCCTGGATCTGGTCCCAGCTCTCCGAACAACAGCTCCAACAACATCAGCACCGAGAATGGAATTGCAGGATCAGTCACGAGTATCCAGGCAGAGGTACAGAGCCTCCTCCCTCTGGTTTGTAACACCCATCAGCTCTGGGAGGGTTTGAGGACTAAACCACACGAAAGGAAAAGCCTGACTTGTGACTTGGAGCAGACTTTGGGAATTACCTCTCAGCCTGGAGGATGCCTTATCTGTTTATTAAATCTGGTCTGGACCAGCTCACAGGCAGCTTGTGGTAGCTTGCAGTGGTTTTGCAGTGAGGAGAAAGTAAAAATAAAGGGATTCAGCAAGGTCAAAGGCAAGTATTTTAGTGTTTGGGGACTTTATTCCTGTATGCAGGGTGAATTTATTGTGTGCAGTTGGCTGGTCTAAATATAACCAAACTATAATTGGATTAAAGGGAATGGATTAAAACTTTTCTTCCACAGCTGGGGATCTGAAAGCTTGGTGCCATGTGCTGGTTTATAATCCTGTAAATTTTCACCATCACTTGAGGCATTGCTGGATGCCCAGGGCAGGGTGAGGTGGGGCTGGATTGAGCACAGCAGCTCCTGTGTTCAGGGATCTGGGAGCCAAGCTTTTCCAAGGGGTCTGGGCCATGTGAGCTGGCTCCCACTGTAAACTGTGCCTCTAGAAAACCGGTGTGGTTGTCTGATGTTACTGGTGCATTTCTTTTCATCCAGCTTCCCATTAGCTGTTCTCCCCATGAATAGAGTCTGTCTTAACACCAGGGCTCCAAAAACAGGCTGGGGCTTGTTCTCCACAAATATTCCTTTAGAATTGAAAAGGCCTTCTGATGGTGGAAATGTCAGTCCTTATTGCTTTCTCGTTTTGTACAGATTTGCACTTTATTTTTATTTCTAATGTAGTGTAACAGTATTTAATATGGGGAGCATGCCTCCTTCTCCACCCTCTGCCCTGCCAAATGATGCAGCAGACATTCCAGCCACTCTAGTCCATAGTAAACCTTACAGATTTAGGTAATTAGTGTGAAGATTAAGATGGTGGGAGGTGGGGGCTTCACTTGCCCCAGGAGGATGAGCACTGAGTTTTGGTTTTGCTGATCTAGGAGCTGTCAGTCTCGTCTGTTCTTAGCAAACTGCAAATTCCCAGTTGCTGCTGATGGAAAAACCAGTGGGTTTGACAATTTTTTTTGTGGCATAAACAGAGCAGGCAGCTTCCCCGAAGTCCATGCAGGGGATTGGAATCAGGTGGTCTTTAAGGTCCCTTCCAGCCCAAACCATTCCATGAAGTCAGAGTGAGCTCCTGCAGGTAAATGTGAAGCTGGACCATCCTCCTCATCCTTTTGATTTTTCAGCTTAATAATTAGAGCTGATCATCTGGGACTAGACCACCAACACCTAATCAAATGGACACTGACCACAAGAAAAAGTCTTTCCATCAACTGCTTGTGGTGCAGTTGTAATTTTGTGACTTAGGCTGAGGCACGAGCAGTACAAATTATTTGGAAAAAAACCCTGTCCTGCCCAAGCCTTTCCCTTTCCCAAAGAAAAATAACTGCATTTTATTTCAGTATTCATGTCATGTGATCCCAGCTGGCTTGTATTTGGGAAAAAAAACCCAAAAACTGGGGCTTGATGTCTTTAAAATTCCCTTCTTCAGTATGAGTTGTATGACCTGGGAGCTCAGGTCTTGGAGATTCCTTTAATACCAAAATGGACCAGGATTTCCCATGTTCCCACCATTAAATGTTTGGAAATATTTGAGTGTTTCTGAAAAGATAATGCTGTGTTTCATTCTTAGCTTCATGTTTCATTTTAAATGAGAAGTATATCTCACTGCTCCTAAGTTCGCTGCATCAGCCCAGGTGTGCTGGAAGATGGTGCCCAAGTTCAGCCCTGCCTCTTTTAAAGCAGACACTTCCTGTTTTGAAATACTCTTTTTAAAGGTTTTTCCCTCTCTGAAAGGCACACAACATTCATTGTCATTGCAGTTGGTACAAGGCTGTAAAAACTCATCGAGTACAGCTGCAGACTGTGCATTCAGAAATGGCTGTGTGCAATTCAGCCCAGAGATGTTTAAAGTGGTGATAATGCTGCCAAATCCCATATGCTCAGAGCATCAAGCTGCTGTGTTCTTCTCTCCTCTGTTTTCTATATCAAATCCCCAGGAGAGGCTTTGAGGCACAACTCCAGAGTATTGATTGTTCAAAGGGAAAATGGATGTAGTTTTGTTTCGTTTATGATATCAGTAAAATATTTCATTCCTTTGCTGACAATAAGTATCTTATTTTCAATGGCACACTGACATTATGTAATTTAAATTAAAGCAAAATTGCCAGGAGTGCTCAAAAATCACTTGGAAGGAGAAGTGTGTGGGTACAAATAATCACATGGAGAGTCACTTTAGATTAGAGAGAAAAAGGAAGTTTTTTTACAGTGAGTCTGTTAAAAATAAGGCAAGACTGCCCAGAGAAGCTGTTGTTGCCTCTGGAAGTGTCCATGGTCAGGCTGGATTTTGGGTTTGGAGCACCCTGAGATAGTGGAAGGTGTCCCTGCTCATGGCAGGGGTGGAACAACCTGCCCTTGAACAATTCCAGGGATGGGACAGCCACAACTTAGGTACAGATTGCCCTATAATAAAATATTGAGTTAAACAAAATCCCCCTTTTTCACAGCAGCACCTGAATTTAACAGGCTTCTGTAGAAGCCTTCTTGAAGTCTAAATTCTATTTACGTTGGAAAATCACCCACAGAGACCTCAGGGTGATCAGAACACTGGTTTCCTAACAGGAAAATCAGGCACTTTATTGTAATTTTTATAATGGCTTTTCTAGTGCATATCTCAAATCAGTCTTGTTTAGAAATTAAAGGTATTTTTGCTAAAGTGTTCTTGCTTCAAATGCCTCTAAGATAACTGAGCAAATCCTGCATTTCACCCTGAAAATCAGGAAATAGCTCCATAAATGCAACCTTGAGGCTTTTGGATGAGATTTTGAAGTCTGATTTATGCTAACACACGCTAGTAAATAACATAAATTGTCTGTTATTTGCTAAAGAGAAAAACAATTGTAAAGCTTTTCCTTTTTTTTTTTTTAAGATAATTGGTTTTACCTTTAAAAAGGCAAATGCTTGAGAAGGGCAAGTACCAAGGGAATAGCATGTAGCTGTGTCAGGGGAGGGTCAGGTGGGATATCAGGAAAAGGTTCTTCCCCCAGAGGGTGCTGGCACTGCCCAGGCTCCCCAGGGAAAGGGCACAGCCCCAGGCTGCCAGAGCCCAAGGAACATTTGAACCATGCTCGCAGGGATGCCCAGGCTGGGACTGTGGGGTGTCTGTGCAGTTCTGGAGACTCTGTGTCCCCTCCTGCTGCCTTGTCCTGGGGATGGGCTCTGGAGACGGGCTCTCACCAGGACCCTGTTCTCTCTCCTTTCCAGACCAGCCTGGCTCACAGGCTCGTGAACCGCGAGGGCTCCGTGACGCAGCTCCCGCTCTACACCTCGCCCTCCCTGCCCAACATCACACTAGGACTGCCTGCCACCGGCCCTTCCAGCGTGAGTGGGGCTGGGATCAGCTCTGGGATGGAGGGATCAGCCTCTGGGATGGCAAGGATCAGCCTCTGGGATGGAGGGATCAGCCTCTGAGATGGCATCAGGGTGGGGATCAGCCCCTGGGATGGCAACAGGGCTGGAATCAGCCTCTGGGATGGCAGGGATCAGCCTCTGGGATGGCAGGGATCAGCCTCTGGGATGGCAGCAGGGTGGGGATCAGCCTCTGGGGTGGCAGGGATCGGCCTCTGGGATGGAGGGATCAGCCTCTGGGATGGCAGTGGGGTGGGGATCAGCCTCTGGGCTGTCAGTGGGGCTGGGATCAGCCTCTGGGATTGCAGTGGGGTGGGGATCAGCCTCTGGGGTGGTAGGGATCAGCCCCTGGGCTGTCTCCTAACCCCCTGTGCCGTGTGTGTTTGCAGGCGGGACAAGCGCAGCAGGACGCGGAGAGGCTCGCAATCCCAGCCTTACAGCAGAGGATCTCCTTATTCCCTGGCACTCACCTCACTCCCTACCTGAGCACTACAACGTTGGAGAGGGATGGGGGAACTGCACACAACCCTCTCCTGCAGCACATGGTCCTACTGGAACAGCCAACTGCACAAACGCCCCTGGTCACAGGTGAGCACTCCGGGGGCAGCACTCGGGCACCTGGAAAAGAGAGCAAAGCAGCAGGGATCTGTTGGATTGTTGTCAAGGCAGCCCCTAGGTCCTGCATCACCCGTACGTCCTGCAGGTAGAACATAAAACCTTGGTTTGTTGATTCATTGATTGGTGGCGATTTTTCCACAATCGGATCTCCCATCTCATTTTGGTGAGATGAAAAGAAATACCATTATTCCATCAGGATAGCAAAGGTTGGTTGATAAAAGTTGAGAACTCTATTTGACCAGTTCAGATCAAAGTGAGGGCAAAAACATTTCATCTTAACGACTCCTGTTTTCCATGGATGGTTTCTATTCCATGAAAGTATGAAAGGCACGCACTTAGAAAATCACAGGTTAAAACACTTCCTTTCCATCATTAATATAAATAGCAAAATCATGGCAAAAGCAGCTGCCTCCCAGCAGATTGTATTTGTTTGTGTGCGTTCCCTTTGCAGGATGGTAATTGCCGTGAGTCACTCCCGGTGCTGGGTTTCAGAATGAGCTACCTGTGGGAAGGCCTGTGGCTATAAATAAGCTGGATTTAAAGCATTAATTCCCACTGGGATGCATTCCTGGTTTCCTGTGTGTGGTGCTGGGACAAAGGATGTTCTGCCTCAGTTACTGACGTGTTGGTTTTCCTTCCCTTCCTTCCATTTCTATTGGAAGTTCTTGGGAGGTGTCAGCCCCTGCAGCATTGCTGCTCATGGCTGGTTGTACATCCAAACCCCAGGAATATCCACGGGGTTGGGAGCACACAGATATGGGGAGGCTGATGCAGAGAAGTGTGGTGTTTGCTTCCTTCAGTTTCCAGCAAACTGTGTTTGCTTCCAAGCAAATTCCTTCTACTTCACCTGCTCCGTGCGGGGCTTTCTGAGCGAGTACAACGTGTTACAGCCCAGCACTCAGGAGAAGGAGTCAGCACAGAGAAACAAGGAGAAATACACGTTCCAGAGGCAGCAGCTGAGAGGCAGCGAGCTCACACGTGGTCCCCAAAGCCTTGAGTGCACCAGCTGCCAAGCTGCAGCTAATATTTGGAAACTCCTTGGAAATAAAGTGGAGTTTATTAGGATTCTGCTGGAGAGCCTTGAGCTCTGGAGATATTCCCCTGACAGCTGCAGAATTAGCCGTGATGGCTCTCTCTGGGCTGGAAGGTAGACATGGCCAGTTTGGGAAGCTAGACTAGAATTCCTTAGCTGTGCCATTCCTCTTGGGAATGGTTACTCTGGGTAGTATCCTCCGTGTTGTGGTACATGTCCTGATGTCCCTTATTCCTGATGGAACATACGCAGGGCTTGCAGCAGCCTGGGATAGTGGAAGGTGTCCCTGCCCATGGCAGGGGGTGGAATGACATGAGTTTTAAGGTCCCCCCCAAGCCCAGCCGTTCCAGGATTCTGTGAACATGGTGTCTACTGGAAAGCTTTCCCAGGAGCACCTTGGCCATTACCTTGGAGGAAAGTAGTCTTCCAAAGTATCCTCTGCAAGCTCTGCTGTCTGATTTGAACTTTTGGGAGGAGCAGCTGTGCTCTCAGGGAAAAGGAACAAATCTTTCCCAATTATCCGTGTATTCATACGCAGACCTGTGTGTGTGCACACGCCGACATCTGCAGAAACATGCATTTATAAAATCAAATACTCTTTCACATGATCCTTTTCAGAAAAAGCAGAGAGTGGGAGAAACTCTGTAAGCCTGCTGAGAAAAGAGGCTTTCCCATGAGTCAGCTCCTTCCACGTAGGGCAGTTCTGTGAATCGCTGGGAAAGGAGGTCACATCCTGGGACACAAATGCCAAGGTGTTTCTAATCCTCAGCATCCACCTGGCTGCAGACATCTGGGCAGCTACTCCTTCTCCTAAACCAAAGCCTAAGGAGAGCAGAGGGCTTCTTGCCCAAAAGTGGCTGCAGCCCTAGCCCTGCTAGGGAGGCAGCTGGTTCCTGCAGCTTGAATTGAACCTGGGATCAGTCCCTAAACCAAGGTGAGCTGTGAGGTTTAAACTCCAGACCACTGTGGTCTCATGTAGCAACAGAAAGGTCAGTAAGGTGTTGCTGGTTTCAAGAAATCAGATGTTTCCAGAGGGTCTCTGAGTCACCAGGCAGATACAGAACTCAAACCAAGCAAAGCATTGCTCTGTGCAGTGGTGATTAATTTATCTGCTCTCTCTCAAGGCAGCTCCAGCTGTAGATGGCGAGGTGGCTGGGTTTGGCATGGTATCACTGTCACCGTCAGCGTTACTCAACAGCCGTTTTCTCCCTTCCTTTCTTCTTCCTTTTGTTTCTCCTCTGCTGTTTTTTCCTCCATATTATCTTCAGACTGGTATCTTTCAGGACTGCCCCTGCACGCACAGCCCCTGGTGGGTGGAGACAGGGTCTCCCCTTCGATCCACAAGCTGCGGCAGCACCGCCCGCTCGGGCGCACCCAGTCTGCTCCCCTGCCCCAGAACGCCCAGGCCCTGCAGCAGCTGGTGATCCAGCAGCAGCACCAGCAGTTCCTGGAGAAACACAAACAGCAGTTCCAGCAGCAGCAGCTGCACATCAACAAGGTAGGCACAGAGCTTGCAATGTCCTTTTTCCTCCAGAGCAGCCTCAAGCGTGCGATTTCAGTGTCTCTAGTGCAGGTGTGTCTGTGGGCTCTACCTCCAACATCCCTGGGCCTCTCATCCTTGGACCTCTCTCAGGCATGACAACACCAGGATGTAGTTGTGAGGGAAGTTACTCAGATACCCTGAAACATTTGCTGAAAGGCTGAGAGACTTAGGGGTGTTCACTGGGAAAAGAGAAGGCTCCAGGGAGAGCTCAGAGCCCCTTCCAGTGCCTGAAGGGGCTCAGGAGAGCTGGAGAGGGACTTGGGGACAAGGCATGGAGGGACAAGACACAGGGAATGGCTTCCCACTGCCAGAGGGCAGGGCTGGATGGGATATTGGGAAGGAATTGTTCCCTGGGAGGTGGGGAGGCCAGACTGGGTGGGTCTTGGAGCAGCCTGGGCTAGTGGAAGGTGTCTCTGCCCATGGCAGGGGATAGAACTGCATCATCTCTAAGATCCCACCCAAACTATCCTGGGATTTGTTCTGTTTTGAGGCTTTCTAAACACTCCTCCCAAGGAGTTCCAGTGGAGGCTTTCCTTAGGACAGCAGTAATTCCAGCAGCAGGTCTGGGGCTCAGGACAAGCCCGTGGCAGGCAGCCGTTCAGATTGCTGCTGTTTCATTTACGGCAGAGGTTCCTCCAAATATTTCCACCGTTCCAGTCCTGTGAGAAAACACAACTGCCAAGGGCTGGATCAAAGAGTGGGAGAAGCCACAACCCCCCCCGCACACGCCACCCCCAAACCCTTGTGTATGGGCCGGGCAGAGGCAGGATGGTTACACAAGTCACTGACGTCAATGCTGTCCTCCTGGAGCGCTGCCACCGCGGGTGCCAGCCCTGGCCCCAGCTCAGCCCCGCACATGGGAGCTGCTGCTCCACAGGGATCCCATTTCCTCCCCCCTCCAAACATTCCCTGGGACCAGGGCCATGGGGTGCGGGGCAGCCAGTTGAGGTTCTTTGTTCAGGGAAGTTGTCAGCTGGAGGGATTTTTTGCGTGAAGGATTTTAAAGCTTTTCCAAAGCCTTGGATGTGACGTATCCACTGAGCTCATTCAGACTTTCTCCTGGACCTCCCAGGAGCTGGAGAGCCACTGGAGCACTCTGACTTCCAGCTTTGTCCATCTCTCTCCACAGCAAAATCAGTCAGAGAGGATTTAATTAAACTGATTTCCCTGTGTTTGATTTATAGGAGTCATGAGTTAAAATCACTTTAGTGCTAGTGCTGCGTGCGTGTGGTGGATTTATCCCATGGGATAGCATCCAAGTGCTGACATGGGAAAAGACTTTTCCCACATTGGGGATATTTTAGGACCCTAGTGTGTGTAGGAGAGTTAAGGGCAGGACTAAAAATAAAATAAAAGATTATTTAATTATTAACAGGACCACTAGCACTGCCTGTTATTTTTTTTATTTGCGGATTTCCCGTAAATAATACTCCTGAAGTATTTTATATATTTATACTCATAAATCAGCTTTTCTTAATTCCATGTGATTTTCCAAACATTTAGATTTTGGCCCTAAGTGTTCCCTGTTAGGTGTCTGCAGCAGATGAAATTTTTGAGGGGACTGCAGCCAAAACAAGTCTTGCTGTTTCCAGGAAAGCAACTAAGGAAAAATATGTTGTTTTACATGAAAATATTAAGAATAACCATCCAAGCAGCTGTGGCTGCCCCTGGATCCCTGGAGGTGTCCCAGGCCAGGCTGGATGGGGCTTGGAGCAGCCTGGGACAGTGGAAGGGGTCCCTGGTCATGGCAGGGGTGGAATGGGGTGAACTTTAAGATCCCTTCTAACCCAAACCATTCTGTGATTCTCATTGAGCTGATATTCCACCATCAGCCTGTGCTTCTGTTTCCCACCTTTTTTGCACGTTTAATGTTTGACAGGGAAGTGCCAGGGGAGGTTTAGGTTGGAAAAGACCAGAAAAAATTTCTGCAGTGAAAGAGTGATCAGGCACTGTCACAGGCTGCCCAGGCAGTGGGGGAGTCACCCTCCCTGGAAGTGTTCAGACAAGCTGTGGATGTGGCACTTGGGGACAGGGTTTGGGGTGGATTTGGCAGTGCTGGGGGAAGAGTTGGACTCAATGGTCTGAGAGAGCTTTTCCAATCTTAAGGATTCTGTGATTTGTAATATCAGAAGAAGCTTTGCACCAAGCCCCATCCAGCCATGCAGGTGAGTTGTCCCCTCTCCTCCAGGCACAAAAGCTCCACAGCTTCCTGGTCCTTCCAGCTGTAGGACAGGCTGCCTCAGACAGTTGTTTTTCCCCTGCTGTCGCATCACTTCAGGGGAAAAAAAACAGATCAAGAGATTTCTGTAGGCTTTCGCTGCTGCAGAAGGCTCTGCCAGGTACTCTGGGGCCCAAGTTGGCCTCTCCCCATCATCCCTTATCATCTCTTGTTTCTCCTTAGTCTATAAAACTTAAAAACCAAAACCCAAAGGGAGCGTGGGAAGAGCCACGTCGAGTCGAATGAGTTCAGCCTTTATCATCCTTTTTTTTTTTTCCTGTTTTTTACTCATTTTCATCAAAGCTGTGTCTCCAGCTGTCCAAGAGTTGTTTCTTCCTTGAGTTTGTCCTTCACCTCCAGAGGGAGGAAAGGGAGCGTTCTGCTGGCTTCTGCACATCCTGGCATGGTCAGGGCTGAGCTGACATCCTGCTTTGCTTCCTGGCTTCTCTCTTCCTCTCCCTTTCTGCCTGTCCCTCTGATGGGGACTGGGGTCCCATCCACCCAGACCATTCTGGGATTCCATTGTTTGTCTGCTGAAGACTCCTCACTGATCTCTAATTTGTGAATAGATGTCTCTAACCTGTTGGTAGAACCTTCAAGGTCTTCAGTGTCCCATGAATTTGCCACTGTGGAGAAAGATGTCCTGGAGGACATGGTATGGACTGATGGGCATGGCAATGCTCAGAGTTTGGATTTGATTGTCTTGGAGGTCTTTTCCATCCTTAATGATTCTGTGGTTCTGTTTATCACATCGACTGGACAAATCCAACACCAGCTGAAATGTCACTAGTGAAAAATGCAGCTGTTTTTCCCCTCATGAATGTTCCACTGAAAAATTATGAACTCTTTAGTTTCCCCTGTATTTATGACCTGACTTTGATATGTATTTTTTTTTGCTGTGGTGTTTTTTTGGATTTTTTTTTGTTTTTCCAGGTTTTGGTTTGTTGTTGTTGTTGTTTTTTGTTGGGTTTTTTTTTTTTGTTTGTTTTGGTTTGTTTTGGTTTTGGGGGTGTTTTTTGTTTCTTTTTTTGTTGGTTTTTTTTTTAATTTCTATTCTTTGTATTTCAAAGCTGTGGAGGAGAAATCTTGCCAGCTGCATGGAGCCTTTTAAAAATGAAAAATGCTTGTGACTAGAGAGCTGTAATTTATTCCGGAGTGAAGTCGTTGTCTGCCCGAGGCTGGAGAGGCAGTGCCTTTACCAGAGGTTTATGGTGGCAGCTTGTGACAGCCAGAGGCCACTGGATATGAAAACAGAGGAGTAACCTCGTGGCAGAGGAAGCCAGAGAGCTAATTAAGGGATGGAGAGGTTATTTATGGTGCTCTGTGCTTACTATTTCAGATATATTTACAAGCCTTCTCAGTGCTACCGTTACAGCCAGCCCCTCGCACTTTTATTCCCTCAGATTTTAAATTGCATGAGCACGTGCTCATAAAACTGCAAAAATGGAAGATTTTTAGGGCGTTTGGATGGGCCTAGCATGCAGATACTGAGTGTTTTATGTGGCATTTGTTGGTAAGAAAGTGTCTTCTCTGCAAAATCTTCCTTTAAGGGTGGGGTTGCAACAACAGGAACCAGTGGCAGACCAGGAGATTCCCTTTGCAGCCAGAATGTCTGAAATGTCCTTGCCATCCACCACTTGGTCTTCTCAGCCTTCACCGTGGTTGTCATTTTAATTCTTACATTTTTAAGGAGCAGGAATAATTTAAAACTTCCAGGGAATTACACTGCCTCTCATTCCCATTAGGTGTGACAATGGCACTCTAAGTTATTTTTCCCAGCAATTACCTTGTGCAGTTCAGAAGTTCAAAAGGCATTAAGTTCAAAAGCTTGAGACCTTCGATCCAAGCAGGGGGAAAAAAAACCCAAAACCAAGCAGCAGATGGTTTATGATAATTTAATTATCTTTAAAACAGATAATATTCATCAAGCCTAAGAGGGCTAAAGAAAATTAGAACTTTTAATTTAATGTGGTTTGGTTATTCAGTGTGTGTTATAAGGAATTAAACTTGGGGGGGGCAGGGTGGAACCTCACAAAAATCCTTGAGGGGTTTTGATCCCTGAATCTTTGCAGGGACCTCCTGAGGTCACTGAGGACAATGTCCCTCCTCTAACAGGTTGCCCAAAGATCTCCAAGGATGGAGACTCCAGAACCTCTCTGAAGAACCTGTTCAAGTGTTTGACCACCCTCACAGGAAGAAAAAAGTTTTATTGTGTTCAGAAGGAATTTTACGGGTTTTAATTTGTGCCTATGGCCTCCTGTCCCACCACCTGTGAGTGCAACCCATGAGAGTCCTGGGGACTTAGGGATATCCAGGTGTTTTAAGTGGTAGTTCCTTCACCAAGGGAAGTTTGCCTTGTTTGAGACTTTTCCTCTGGTGTCAGAATCCTGGGGTTCTTGAAGGATTGTCTTAAATAAGGCATTTATTCTGTCTCATGTGCCACCAGGTGCCTTCCCTCATTCAGCAGTGGCACCAGGATCTCCTTAGCCTTCTTCTTTTCTTCCTTCATGTCCCTTGCCAGATTCAACTCCATTCCTGCCCCTCTGCCTTGCTTAGGTTCTATGGCAGAGCCTTCCTTCCTGCTTTTGGGGGAGAAAAGGCTTAATTCCAGATTGGAGCCACTGTTCTTCAAAGAGCAAGTTACTGACAAATAGTCCCTCCTCCTGCATGTGTTCAATAACCATGTTTTGATTTAGCTTTATTAGATTTAAAATCAATATTGCTTACCATACTGATGACCTAATCCTCATTAAACCTTGCCCTGACAACTTTCAAAGTGCAGCAGTTTCTTTATAAGCCTGTGAAACAGGGGCAGCCTGAGGTCTTTGAAAGGGAGGAAATGGATTAGTTTTCCAACGCTGGAGTTAAAAACAGGTCACATTTGGGTTTTTTTATATCCCAAATAAAAATCATAAGCAGTCCGAGACAGAGAACTGTGCATTTTATCTTGCCAAAGAACAAAAAAAAGCTTGAGTGAATTACAGTGAAAATTAAATTGTTCCTTTAGGTTTACGAGCTCCTCTCCAAGACATTTACTGTGTCTGGTTAGGGAGGTCAGGTTAGAACAATGCTGCTCTTCAAGTTTGCTCTCAACTGCATGTCCTGTGTTTCCTCTTAACCAGCTCCATAAGAGTACAGATTTTCAAGTAATCATTATTTCAGCCTCACGGAAAAAAATCAGGGAGTGATTTGAGGTGATGTTGAGCAAACAGGCAGCAAAAGCCCTGTTGGAGGGTTTGTGTCCCCCCTATTCTTTCAGAATTTAATTGCCAAACATCTCGATGGTTGCTCTGCGTGTTTGTGAATGGAGTAGCATCTGGAGTTGTGCAGGAACAAGAGGCTCTTATTCCTTCAGAGAGAGGATGAAGTGGAAAATAAGGGGGGTGTCATTACTGGGGATACGGGATTTCGGAGCCCTCGACACCAAGGTTGCCCTGACCTTTCCCTGCATTGTTGTGGATTGTGAGACAGAATAACCCAGAACTGCTCCTTCCCGTGAGCCTGGAGAGCAGAGCTCTGGGCGTTCCCCGTGGTGGGAGGCAGCTCTCTGATGAGTTTGGGGCTCTTTCAGATCATCTCCAAGCCGGCCGAGCCGGCGCGGCAGCACGAGAGCCACCCCGAGGAGACGGAGGAGGAGCTGCGGGAGCACCAGGCGCTGCTGGAGGAGCCCTACGGCGAGCGGGCCGCGGGCCAGAAGGAGCCCGCGGGGCTGGCCAGCGTGGTGCAGGTCAAGCAGGAGCCCATCGAGAGCGACGAGGAGGAGGCAGAGCCGCAGCAGGAGCTGGAGCCCGGGCAGAGGCAGGCGGAGCAGGAGCTGCTCTTCCGCCAGGTCTGGCGCTCGGGTTGTTGTAAGACGTGGATTTGGGCTCGGAAGCCACCTTGTGCTACTCTGAGGGGAAATAGGGTTGGCTGGTTACAGGAACCCGATGTAAATTCAGGTGATTCCTTCCCTGGAGTCACCTGCCAGCTGGCAAACCCCAGGGAGGACAGTCTGTGGGTCATGTGCACAAAACACAGTCACTGTGTTTATTGAGCCACTGAAACGCTTCCATGGGTGTTTCTTTAGGAAGATAAAGTCTGTCCTCACATTTCTGAGCACTAGCCACCAGCAGGAGACTGTATTTTGGTTTAATGATTTAAAACTGATTTCTCCAGAGAAAGACTGCACATAAGGGAGCAGGGGACAAGTGGAGGGTGTTCCTGCTTCAGTGAGCCTCCAGCCAGGCTCACTTTTGAGGCAGAACACCTGAGGCTTGAGGATTGCAGGTGATAAATCCAATAACAAGGAAGCACAGTGTAATAGAGCTGGTCCATGTCCTTCAGGAATGTCATTGAGATGTTGCTCAGGAACTACATTTGCCCAGGAAAGCTGTGGCCACCTCATCCCTGGCAGTATCCCAGGTTGAACGGGGCTTGGAGCAACCTGGGATAAGGGGAAGGTGTCCCTGCCCATGGCAGAGATGAGCTTTAAGGCCCAAGCCATCCTGGGATTTTCTAATTCTGTGTTGCTGATGATGGACCATTATCAGTGATACCATTCCTCTGAAGGTGGAACCTCTCCACCTTAATCCCGAATCCATGGTCACACCTCAGGAGTCTTTAAAATAGTATCTCCTTTGCAACTGTTTTGCCTCAGAGCAGGAGGAAATTTATAGAGGGAATGGGATGGAACAGCCATCCCTTCTGACCAGGAGCCTGTCCAGCTGATGGTGTGCTGCACAGAGAACCAGCTCAGCTAAGCGCTCCCTCTCCAGCCTGAGTGATCCAGTTGAGTGGGACTCGTTCCATGGCCTGGGCTGTTTCACTGTTTATTGTCCCAGAGCAGTGGGGTGGGAGCACAGGAGAAGGAAGATGAGGGAGCTGTGGGGGAGGATGGAGCTGCCCCTGGCTATGACCCTGTGAGTGTGCAGCAGGCTCAGGCTGGGGCTCCGTGTGTTGTGCCTCTCTGACTCGGCCCTAGAAACATCACATCTGCCTTTGCTGCACGCAGGGGAAAGGAGTCCAAGCCTGAGAGCCTTCAAAAACCCTTTTGGGAAGGCCCTTTCAGCAACTGCCTGCTTCTCTTGCCCACAGCAAGCCCTGCTCCTGGAGCAGCAGCGGATTCACCAGCTGAGGAACTACCAGGCGTCGCTGGAGGCGGCTGGCATGCCCGTGTCCTTCGGGGGACACCGGCCCCTGTCCCGGGCACAGTCCTCCCCTGCCTCAGCCACCTTCCCCATGTCCGTGCAGGAGCCACCCACTAAGCCAAGGTTCACAACAGGTGAGCTTTTTGGGGGGCTCTGGGCTGGGGGGGGCTCTGGTGACTGGTCTATTTTACACAGAGCTATTCTGTGAGGGCACAGAAAAGAGGGAATGGCTTTAGGCTGGGAGTAGTGTTAGATGGGATATTGGAAGGAGATCCTTCCTTGTGAGGGTGGTAAGGTTGCCCAGAACAGCTGTGCCAGCCCCATTCCTGGGAGCGTCCAAGGCCAGGTTGGACAGGACTTGGAGCAGCCTGGGATAGTGGAAGGTGTGCCTGCCCTACCCCTGAGGTGAGCTTAAAGGTCTCTTCCAACCCAAACCATTCCATGGTGATGATTCTCCGACTTTCTTCCCTGTCCCTGCAAATCCGTAAGCCTGGGCTCTGCATCTCATCCCCATTTGGGTACTCCATCACATCCTGCCTTCCTCAGGGAGCACACTGAGTCATCCCTGCTGTCCTGCTCATCCCTTCTGCTGGGCAAAAATACCCTGCACACACACACAGCAGCAGCACAGCCCTGGAGCTGTGTGTCCAGGCACACAGAGCGAGTCCCAGGCTGTGACAGAGCTGATTTACAGTCAAGGCAAGGAAAGCCAGTGCTCCTGAAGGACAGAGTGCCTAATGCAATGCTGGCCCTGTTTCCTCCACCTTCTCCAGCCCCTCCATAACCTCATGCCATCAGTTATCCACTGGGCTCCCTGCCAGCCTCCCCTCCTCCTGTTGCACAGGAGGCTGTGCCTGCAGGTTGGGAAAAACGAGGTGAGCTGGTGATTTCAACTTGTCTTGAGGAGACAAAGAGACTAAAGGGTGTTTGTGGAGGAAAATGATGAGTGCAATCCTGTGTCTGTCCGGTGGAAATCACAAGTGCAAAATAGATGTCGATCCCCATCCCTTGGAAGTGTTCACAGCCAGGATGGAGCAGCCTGGGACAGTGAAAGATGTTCCTGCCCATGGCAGGTGTGGAACAAGAGGAGCTTTAAGGTCCCTCCCAGCCCAGACCACTCTGGGATTCTGTGATCTCCCCACCAAGATTTAAAGCAAAAAAACTTAATTGTTCTTCCTGTATCCTGACAGCCAACTTTTCTACTCCAGAATCCTCTCTGCTTCTTCAATGCCCTTAGCAACAGCTGAAAGTTGATTTTCCATGCAACTCCTCAAGCCCTGTGCTGGGTGATGAGGGCTGATTTCGAAGTCCGCCTTCTTCCCCAAATGTCAGGCTCTTAACTTTGTGAATGAGCAGTTTGCAACGTGATGTGTTCCCTGGGAAAAGGAAAAGGAAAAGGGAGGTGGGGGAGGGGAATCCACAACGCCCAAATAAGAGCGACTCATGGTGTTACTTCCCTTTCACTTCTGCTTTTATTCCATTTTTAACCTACATTTCTTGCATCATGCAGCTCAGTGCTGTGAATTGGGTTTATTTTCAGGCCCTGGTGGTGTAGTAATAGTGGCATGTTCAGTGTTCCTCAGCTCCTGGCTGCAGGCATGGTGGGAAGCATGTGCTGTCAGTTCTGGGACAGCCCAGGGAATAGCTCAAGTTTTGTAAATCAGCTCTTTAAAGTCCCTATTTGTTCTTAACGTTTAACCCAGAATTTCAGCACAACTGCATTTCAAATGCAGTTGGTTGTGGCCATATTAAAAGATTTTGGCTTTTGCCAAGGGTGCAAGGAAAAGTCCCCTGGCTCAGGGTCAGAGCAGATGAAACCTGAGTTTCTAATACACTTAACCCCAAACCTTGGGGCTTTAAAAACAAGGAAGCCTGGCCCTGTTTGAAGGGATTATTCATTCCTTTTCTTTCTTCCCTCCTCCTCCTCTGCTGGTATTGAACCTGCCCTATCAATCACATGCAAGACTCTGAACATACAAATAAATAGCATTTCCTAGCAGAGGATCTATGTTTGACTCAGATCTGTGCCTATTAATTTCATTCAAATTTGCAGGCAGCAGTAAGAATGCAGATTTGAGAGCTGTGCTGCTTGGAAAAGATGCTGTTCCAGTATCAGGATTTATTTTCCTTGGAGGCAGGGTTTGAAAAACTAAAAAAAGTGGCTTAAAATAAGAGGTGGAATATCACACTGCTTTTATCCAGCACTGCACAGAGCGATGAGGTGCAGAATGCTTCAGGTAGTTCACCTGTAAAATACCATTTTCACAACATTTTCCACATTAAGATTCCAAAGGTTTGACTTCTTTTTCCTTCAGTCTCTGCATTTATGCTTTGTGAATGGAGAAGGAAAAACACAATAAAATCAGGCATTCACTGGCACTAATTAAGGTGCAAAGCATAAAGGTAAGGCCTCTGTACTAGTCCTAAAACTAGTCCTAGGTCTGGTTTAATTAACCTGCACTGTCTGCATAGGAGAAGCAAGGGAAAAAAGGCCACTGCCATGGGCATGGAAGCAGGAGAAAAGGAGGAAAGGCATTTCAGCTGCATGAGCATGTGTGAGTTAAATTGCCTCATGTTTTGTTGGAGTTGTCCACGGTGGCGTGTTGAAGATTGTGTTTCTGGAGGTGGATACTAAAGCTTAATCACCAGGATTGAGCTGTTCTCTGGAAGGCAGGAAATTAAAGTCTTGGGTGTTTTTCAAAAGCAAGTAGTGCTGAAGTGCATCAGGCTTCTTTTTCCCGAGGAAAATCCATCTGGCTGATAAGTGCTTTGCATACTGATCCTAAGGCAGAAGAATGAGGATTGGAATTGGTGTGATGGTTTGGTGAGAGGGCTGCAAGAAGCAAACTTCATTGAATGGCCCTAATTAAGCCAACTGTGATCACTCTGGCTGTGGACATGGCCCTTAAGAGAGCAGTCATTGTCCAACAAAGAAAGGAATTGTTCCTCCTTTTCATGTTTGGTATATTATACAGAAATAATACAGAGAACTGATGCTCTCCCTGGACTGAGTTAGCTCCAGACAGCTGGAAGTTCTGGGGCTGATGTATATTTTATTTTCCTGTCTCTCTCGGTGACCAACACCTGAGACTTCAAAGGTCCGGGGCAAAGAGCCACATCCTGCAGCTCTCCAACATGATGTCCATTACTCCACATCAAAGGGAGAGCTGTGCCCTTCCTGGATCCTTCCAGCAATCAGTTTGATGTCCCAAAGCATGACATTTAATTTTCCTTCCTCCCAGAAAGTAGGTCCTTGAACTTGCCCTCTCTAGCTCCAGCAGCCCCTGCGACTTAATGAATACTCGTGCCTGCCCTGTTCTGTGCACTTGAATAAGGATCCTCAGGTTAGGCCATTAATTTGCATAGCTCCAATTATCCAGTCTCTGATCTCCTGTAAAAATGGGTCCACAAATTATTCTGATGTTCTGCATTAAAGGGTTTTTCCTTTCTGATGAAGGCATTTATTCTCTCATAGTGCAGAGCAATATAATTATCTGAACCTCAGATCATATGTTTGCTCTGCCAAGAAAAGCCAGTTGGTTTTGCTTTAGTGCTGACCTTTAAAAATTATTGTTCTTATGTCTGAAAAGAGTCTTGCTTCCAGCACCACTTCAATTAACTTGTAAGAGCCAGTGTAGTTCTGTATTTTGAGCTTAAATTGCCGAGCTTCCCTTTGTGTGAGTGCGTGTGTGTGTGTGTGTGTGTGTGTGTGTGTGTGTGTGTGTGTGTGTGTCTGCAGCTGAGTGTCCCCAGCCACAGGAAGGAGCTGGGAACAGCTCCCTTTTCAACTGGGCTGGTTTCTAGGAAAGAGAAATGATGAGTGATTGACACTGCTGTTATCAGTGAACCCCTGGGAAAGGAGAAACCATTGATGAAGCAAGGTCGGTGAACACCAGGTTTGGGCTGGGATAGGTTCCTTGAGCAGTTTGTGTTGGAAGGGACCTTGAAGATGATCCATTTCTGTGGGCAGGACATCTTACAGTATCCCTGGCTGCTCTGAGCCCTGTCCAGCCTGACCTTGGGCACTTCCAGGGATGGGACAGCCAGGGCCTCACCACCCTTACAGGGAAGAATTTCTTCCATGAATGCAGTCTAAATTTCTTTTAGTTTGAGACCTTGCACTAGTTCAGTTAAACTCAGACTGGGATGAAAGCTTCTCCTCAGGTGAATTCCGAGCTTGCCTTGGCCCAGCAGCTCCTGGTGGTGTTTGATGCTGTGACTCAAACACGGGAGACCTTGAGAGAGCTTTGCAGCACAACCTCCTCCAGGTGAACTCGGGCTGACCCAAGGGCAGCCAATTGCCAGGGCTCTGTTCTCTCCCTGGAACCCACGGTGGTTTGGCTTTTGGGGGGTGTTTTTTCCCTCTGCTCTCACCTACAGCAGAGCAAGGAGCTGCCAGACACCTCCCCCGAGGCTGCAGCCCTGCAAGAGCCGGGGCCAGAGCAGGGAGCCAAGATTCCCGGTGGCACAGCGTGCCCACACCAGCCAGGAGGTGGGACTGAGCTGCAGCCAGGCCTGGCAACGTGCAGGAGCACAGCCCCAGCTCCAGCTGCTCTCAGGGTGCCCTGTGAGCCCCTTGGAGCTCCCAGGGTGTGCTGTGTGTCTGTGCTGGAGCTGGGAGCATGGATCCAGCTGTGGGTGTGATTGCCCAGGATTTCCCCGGAGTGCTCTCCTTGGACATCGGGGGCTGGGACTGGCTTCTGCCACTGACTGCTGCCTTCAGGGGCTTTGGATTCTGATCTAGACCTTTATATTCTGTAGAAATCATGGAAAACCTTGGGGTGGAAAGGACCTGAAAGGCTGTCTGGTTTTAAGTCTCTGCCATGGGCATCTTCCACTGTCCCTGGCTGCTCCAACCTGGCCTTGGAAACTTCCAGGGATCCAGGAGCAGCCACGGCTGCTCTGGGCACCCTGTGTCAGGGCCTGCCCTCACTCCCAAGGAACACTTCTTAGTTCCCAATATCCCATCCTTCCCTGCCCTCTGGCAGTGGGAGCCATTCCCTGTGTCCTGTCCCCACTTCTCCTTTCCAGGTGAGCACCCCCAGTCCTCTCAGCAGAGGGGCTCCAGCCCTTGGACCAACTTTCATACAGATACTTCCTGCAAGAAACCCTTTTCTTGGGGGAAAAAAACCCAAACCAACCACTTTTATTCTGTTTTCTGGAGCTTCTGGCTGAAGGAAAGCTGGATTTCAACATTTGACTTCATGTCTTTTGCTCGAGAGAAATAATTAAATGTCTTCTGTCACTGGGGAGGACCTGCTGTTTTCCTCCCTTTGGAATATTGGCTATGGAATCCCATCTCCCCCTCCAAAATCGTACCCAGGCAACTCTGGAGTGTGAATCAGAGCCTCCTGCGCTGCTGTCGTGCTGTAAATCCCTGGAATGCCGGGGGATTTAGCTGCCCGAGCCCCTCCTTGTGCTGAACACCTCGGTGCTGCCAATATTGCTGCCCAGTGGGCACTAATGGCTGCAATTAGCAAATAAGGCACGAGCTGCTTGTGAAACAGCAGCACTAGCACTCGCTCCTTCTGGGTTTGCTCCCATGCCCTGGAGGCGTTCTGGCAGCCAGGGGAAAAGCCCCTGATCCCATTCCTGTGCACTCACATAGGTGCCACCTCCCCCTGGCATTTCATTTCACATCTTGGTGCTGATTTGCCTCTGATACCCCTTGAGGATTTCCGTGGGAAGGGGTGGATGCAGCTTTGGGCTTTCAGTTCTCTGTGGCTCCCACGCAGTTTTGGCCTAGAACCGTTGACTCCATAGTGCAAAATACCCTTTTTTTCTCCCTCAAACTGGCAATTTGTGGTGGTTTTTTTAACCTGAGAGCAATTCTGTGCCCTGTGCTGCAGGCCTTGTGTACGACACCTTGATGCTGAAGCACCAGTGCACCTGTGGAAACACCAACAGCCACCCTGAGCACGCAGGCAGGATCCAGAGCATCTGGTCCAGGCTTCAGGAGACGGGGCTGCGGGGCAAGTGTGAGGTAAGGGAAACACCACAGCAGGCCACATGGCTGGTTTTATTAGTATTATTAATATTATTACCACATTACTATTATTGTTACTGTTATATTGCTCTTAGGCCAAAGAAAAGAGCAAGATATGATGTAACCCTTTAATTTGTTATCCCTCCCAATTATTCCAGCAAAAGCAACAGCTTTTCTGTGCTTTAATAACTTCTTTTTGTACTCTTTAATAAGTAATGGTCAAGCTTGTTTGGGGGTAGGAGGAAGGCACTGAGCACCATTCCATCACAAGAGGTTAAATTAGATTTATTTGCTATATTTTAAGAGCAAGCAAATGGAGAGAAAAAGCTTAGATATTAAACAGAAAGAATGAAGGTTAATAATAAAAATTTGCGAGTGGTTATTAGTTACAACTAACAGCAGTGTTGATAAATGGGGGTATAAGTGTGTGTTCATCAATCCTTTGAGCATCTGAGAGGGCTGAATCCCAGAGCATAAATATTCCAGGAATGTTCCCGGGCCATCAGATGAGACATCCACGTGGTGGCAGCATTGCCATTGCCTACATTTCCCTGTCCTGCCCTGGTTTATCCCTTTCAAACCTCTCTCTGTCTGTGGATACCCATTTAATCGAATTTTGGGATTATTTGGGACCAAATGAACTTTATTGCTAATTGCCTGGCCTCCTCGCTGGGTGTTAGAGATGTTCTCCAATGTATAAGTTTGTGACTGTAAGATCCCCGGCAATATTATTGTCCTTAATTTCCTGTTGATTTCCTTAAAGAAGATTTATTTTCCTTAATTCCCATGCTTACCTTGGTACTTTTGGTTGCTCTCACGGTGGGAGCTGTTGTTGATCTTCCCCTGCTTTCCAGCTGTGTTTCCCTCCTGACCGCTGGTGACTTTCAGTCTCACCGGACTCTTCTTTTTTCCCCAAAAATAGTAAATTTCTGCCTTAATTCCCTGCTGGCTTTCTTCAAGCTCTGCCCTGCCGTTTCAAGGATGCACTCCCTTGTCTCTCTGGTCCCCTTTCCTTCATCCCCACCACCTGTCTGAAAGTTTCCTTCTTTATCTTGAATGGATCTGAAGATGACTTTCCATGCTGAGCAAATAAATGTTGCGAGTAAGGGATTAACCCAAAACCTGAATTTCTCCACCTCAGGACCCATTTTAGTGTTTTGCTGTCTGTCTTGATGGCTTGCTAAGGAAACAGAAAAGGGAGTCAAGCACTCAGCAGTGGTTTCACCACCCTTTTCCTTCCCCTTGCAGTGCATCCGTGGCAGAAAGGCGACGCTGGAGGAGCTGCAGACGGTTCACTCGGAAGCCCACACACTGCTCTACGGCACAAACCCTCTGAACAGGCAGAAACTGGACAGCAAGAAGCTTCTAGGTACCATTCCCTGGGGGCACATCCCCCTTCCTGACCCCTGGGTGAGGTGCTGGGGCTGCCTTCATCCTTAGCCCTGTGCATCTCCAAGAGGATTGTTCCCAGCTCCATGAACAGAATCCATCTCCCTCTCTTCAGGCAGATTTCTAAACCCTAGAGAGATTAAGCCTCTTTTCTTTGATGTCTTCAGAACCTAAATGGATGTTTTCCTGAGGAGGAAAGATAGTTCAGGCAGTTTGTTTCATCCTTGGGCACTCCGGGTGTTAGGTAGGTGTCCATGGCTAGGGAAGGAGCTGGAGCACGCTCCCAAGGATTTGGATCTGCAGCCCCCAGCCGGCTGTACAGGCATCAACAAACCCCTGCCAGCTTTGGACAATCAGCAAGAGAGATGCAGGGGCCTCTGCATTTGTTTAATGTGGAGTGGAATTGTTTATCCCTTTCACTGGAGACCAAATCTTCCTGAAACAGGGCCGTGTCTATTGTAAAATACAGAAAAAAGAAATACAAAAATAAAAGATATTTTCCTAGCAGAAATTCTAAGGGATGGATGTTCAGATAACTAACCCCCCAAAGCAACCAAACAACATGGATTTTAGCATCTCCGTGGAGTCATCATCACCTCCCTTTACTTCCTGCCTTTTTGCAGCAGCAGGCTGGTGGGACAATTTTGGGAAGTTGCCACGTGGGGATCTGAAAAAAAAAAAAGAAAAAAGAAGACAGCTCTGGAACGTTGAGACGTTGAGAAAGTTTATTTTGGGATTAGCCTGATTTGGGATGATGTAAAAAGAGGCTTAACTCTGTGGCCTTTGTTGATCCAGTGGTCACAGCAGAGGAGCTGGAAAGATTTTGCTCAGTGTGTCCATGAGCTCCCAGACAGCGAAGCATTAGCCAGGAGTTAAACACGCAATTAGCACGGTATTTATAGCTCACTTCCCACCTCTTTAAGGCCAGAGAACCCAAAAGTAGACACCTCCAGCTGAATGACAGCTCCATTAGGATTTAAACTTTCAGGAATTCATGATGTCATATGCTCGGGAGTGAAAAACCCACAGCCCGAAAGAACTTTGGTAAATCTTCCCTGGGATATCTGAGATTCTCTTGGGATACTTTTCCACTCCCTCCTTGGGTCTGGGCACGATCTGTCTCAGCAGTGCCACTGTATTTGGATATACAGTTTATTTGGATAGCATTTTGGGGAGACACCCAAATTGCTGAGCCATTCCTGATGGTTTCTGTAGAGAACCTGTGGGGGAAGCAACCCTTGCTCTGCCTCTGCTTCAGTAGTTCTGTGCCCACCGTGGTTTTCGTTACCCATTTTAAAGTGTTTGCAGAGATCAAGTTTAATCCAAAGAGAAGATAAATTCCAAGGGCTTTCCAGTACAGAACATTCCCTGTTTGGATACAACTTGCAGAAAAGCCCTAGAGCTGCGGGAGGTCAGGTCCTCAAGGGTCTCCAGTAGGAGGGGATGTCCAGTAGCTCTTAACTGGGCTTAGACCCGGTTTCCTAAGCCCACCTGGCACCCTTGTAGCCTGGAGATGCTGATAGTGGCACTGGCTGCCAGCCCACATGGCCCCTTCTCTCCTGATGGCTTCCACAGGGCAGGACCTGAGCAAGGATATCAGGGAAAAGCTCCGTGTGGAGGGGGGAACTAGCCTGTTAAAAACCCTTCCTTCAGCTGTTTTCTCCCGTTGGGGGTTTAAAAGGCTTTTAAATTTACACACCAGCTTGGTGGGGTTCTTTGAAACACATCAGAGGGTGGGTTTAGGGCAGGTTTGAACGCTGAGGGCAAAGCTTTGTGTGAGGTTTAGGGATGCAAATGGGAGTTTGTTGGGGCTGAGTGTCTTGGCAGGTGTTTGATGACTCCGTGTAAACTCTTGGCCTTTGATACCTCTGTGAGGAAGAAAAAAGCCTGAGAAACCTCAGCCTGAAAGGGAAAAGGCTTTTCAGGACACAGGATGTTTCTTGTTAAGCTTCTGCAAATAAAAAGGGGGATGTGCCTTCATGGAATCACAGAATCCCAGAACCGGTTTGTGTGGAAAGGGAGCTTAAAGCTCATCTCATCCCACCCCTGCCATGGCAGGGACACCTTCCACTATCCCAGGATACTCCAAGCCCCAGTGTCCAACCTGGCCTTGGACACTTCAGGGATCTGAGAGCAGCCACAGCTTCTCTGGGCACCCTGTGCCAAGGCCTGCCCACCCTGCCAGGGAACAATTCCTAATTCCCAATATCCCATCTAACCCTGCCCTCTTTTAGTTTAAAGCCATTCCCTGTGTCCTGTCAAGGATACAAAGTACAAACTCATGTCTCCTTGGACAGTGGAAATACTTGGAACCTGTTGGACAAGTTGAAACTTAGGCAAATAAGGCTGCTTTTAATTTGTGGGGAGCAATCATAAATTGTCAAGAAGATAAATACTATGGAAATAATGGGTGGATTAGCAGTGAGAGATGGGACAGGAGGTCTGAGGCAGGATGATCTAAGAACTTCCATGTGGATCTAATCAGGGAGGGCATCTCACTTTGAGCTCAGATGAGTCCAGATGCATGAACTCCTCTTTCAGGAACAGATCCCAAATGGTTTGTGTGGGAATGGACCTTAAAGCCCATCCCATTCCACCCCCTGCCATGGGCAGGGACACCTTCCACCAAACCAGGTTGCTCAGGGCCCCACAGAATTTTGAATGGAGGATAATTTGCTCACACATGAGCCCAGAAAGCGATGTTACATTTCCTACAGATTCAAAATTAGCCCTGCAGATGGTTTTCTCAATTTTTCTCACATTCTCCTTGTTGGTTTTGCTATTTCAGTCAAAACACATGTTTTTTCTTTGCTTGCCACTGGTTTATTTTTCTGTCTTCCTCTTTTATGAAACCCATGCTCTCCAAAGTCATCTAGTAACTGCAGATGAGTGACAGTTGGGGTGTTTTTATGATTTCTTGTCCTCCCTCAGTGGGAAGGGGTTAAAATGCACATCTGAGAAGACACACTGAGTGATTGTTGGTGTCATCTTCCTCGTGTATAGTCTCAAAACATCAGACAGCACCCACACCTTGCTGAAAAATGAGTGATTTATAGACAGCTTTTGCAGGAGCCTAAGTGTGTACATTACATATGTGTGTGTTTGTGTGTGTGTGTTGTAACAGGGCTGGGTGAAAATGGGAAGAAAACCCCCAGGAAGAAATGTGTGTGTTTCTGTTCTTGGAAAGATTGCAGAGTTGCCACAAAGTTGGCCCCAGATTGCCACAAAGCTGGCCCCAGAATCTGGTGACCTCTGACTTCTGACGTTTCGTGTCCCCCACAGGTTCCCTAACGTCGATGTTTGTCAGGCTGCCTTGCGGTGGTGTCGGGGTGAGTACCTCCCTTTAATGTGTAAATAATGTCCTGTTTGTTCTCTCCCCTGGTCCCCTCAGCACCAAAAATTGCTGCTTTGCATTCCACGGTGGGTAATTGCAGCCAGATGCTGCCTGGGGCGCGGGGTGCCGTGGCCTCACGTGCCTTTCTTCAAAAGCAGCCGCGGCATTTCGGGGCTGCTCCGGGGAGCCCGAGCCTCAGGGACACTCAGAGGCATGTTCAGGAGGAAAAACCTCACTTCCCAGGCTGGGGTGTTCAGTGGTGAAGGGGTTGCTGTGTTTGGAAGCAGCCCTTGCATTGCAAAGTGCTTTTTTTTCTGTGGAAAGTAGGATGTGCTGGTGCTGTGGAGCTGTTCCATCCTGTTCCATCCTCAGTCTCAGGGCTCCAGAGCCTCCTGCCTCCCACAACAGGTGGGAAATGTGGCCATGAAACAGGACAGTATTTGGGAATGTACATTTTCCTGTGAATAGCAAGTTTCTCTGGCCTGGAATGAAAGAGCATTTGGCATCTTTTATTCTCCAGCTCCAGGATAATCAGCGTGGATTCTCCAGGAGGTGACTAAAATACCCCTCCATCCCTCATGGAAAAGCTGAGTGTTACTTTTCAGCTGTCAAATTTCCATATAATCAGGCTTTTTACTGTTGTTTGTTCCCATAAAGCTGAAAGAAACCCAAACACCAAATACCTTGTTTTGAAGGTTTTCTTGTTTTCCTTTGAAGCCTGAAAGCTTAAAAGTTTCCCTTTCAAGTCAGACTTTCTGCTCCAGAGTTTCTGTGGAGGGTGACAGGACAGAAAATCGTGGAGAACAGGAAGGGGAAAAGAATGAGAAGAGACAATAAAAGGCATTGTGTTTGAAAATTCACAGTGGTAGTTCTGCTGCATAATTGTAGCTCATGAGGTTGAATTTTCAAGGTCTGGATTCTGTTATGGAAATGAAACAAAATTGTTTTCTTCCTGAGTCTTTGCAAAATCGCTGCTTTGAAAATTATCCCGTCAGAAGGGGAAAAAAAAAAAAAGAGAATAATCGTCGTTTATTCGTACCGCCACTCGTGGAGATATTTTATTTTGTATTGTAAATATGCTGCAGTCGCCTAATTCATGGCAAATTTTTGGCCAGAGCTTAAAAGGTTTGGATTTACTCTGCCCTGCAGTCAGGCATGCCATTCAAAGCAAAAAAAATTATCATTTGCAAATGAAGACTGAATGGTAACAAGTAGAGACAGTGTCTGAGCCCAGCACGGGCCCAGAAGTCTTGCATTAAATCCCAAATCAGGGCAGGAAACGCCTTGGAGCTGGTATTCCTGATATGCTCCCAATAAAGATGGTGCTTGCTGCTTGGTTGTCTCCACAGACCCTTAATATTGAATATTTGCTGACTCTGGTGCAGTGTTTTAGTAATCCTATCAGCAAAACCTGTGCCAGGGCCTCCCCACCCTCACAGGGAATAATTCCTTCCCAATATCCCAACTCACCCTGTCCTCTCTCAGTGGGAAGCCATTCCCCATTGTTTGCCAGATATTTTTCAGAGGGCAAACATGATGTCATCAAGTCAAAAGGAAAGGAAAAAGAAAATTAAAAATCAGTAGAATAATGTGGGACAGGTCCTCCTTTGGATTTATATTGGAGCAGGATAAAGCAGAATGTGATAGCTGATGATTAGAATTCAGGAGCTGAGGATGTTGTGTGAAATTATGGGCTGGAAAGCTTTGAAACCAGGCTCTTTTCCTGCAAGCAATCAAGTGTGGCTCTCTTCCTTTGGGGACGTTGTGTAGATGAAAAGGGAGGATGGGTCTGGAGGGGAGTGCAGGGCAGTTTTGGGGGGAAGGAGCCCCTGGAGAGCTGTTCTGCATCGGGATAGAGGATGGAGCTTGGGCAGCCATGAGTTCTCCTCAAGAATGAGTGAAATGAAGGACAGGCAAGAGAGTGAATCATAGAATATCCAGAGTTGAAAGCACCCACAGGGATCATTGATCCAACCCCTGGCCCTGCACAGACACCCTAACAGTCCCACCCTGTGCATCCCTGAGAGCATTGTCCAAACAATCCTGGAGCTCTGGGGGTGAAGCAGCAAGAAAATAGTTCAGAGCAAGTCCCTTCATCTCATAACACCTTTCAGACTTTCTCTTTTAATTAAAAACTCAGTCTTGGTGAATTGAAGTCAAGGAGAGAAAGGGTAAATTTGTTCCCAGGTGCTCGGAGGCTCTTTTTCCTTGTTGGTTTATCCCAAAAAGCCTTCCCATAGTTGACAAGCCTCCTCCATTCTGCAGCCTTCTGGTCCTAGCAGGAGAGGAAGAAAGAAAGGACAGAAGCACTGAAATCAACAGGTGTGAACTCTGAGTGAAACATCACTCATTTATTTCTGCTGATCACTTGGGAGTTGGGCTCAGCTTCACTCTTCTGCAGCTCACACCCCTTTTTCAACGTCTGACCTTCCCTAATCCAGGATGATTAGAAGAGGGTTTTGGGAGCAAAAAAGAAGTTTAAACAAGATCATCCCAGCACACTTGTATCCAGATTCTTCACAACACTCAAAGGCTTGATTTGAGGATAGCTGATAAATTTGTTTTCTTTCCTGTGTAGCGTTTTGCTGCGCACATTCTAAAAATAGCTGAAGATCTGCATCATTTTCTGCACGTGTCCTAAAAACTCCAGAGGTGTTTGTGCTGTTGATCTTCTCCAGAGGAGGTGATTCTATTTTGGCGTGCAAGGGCTTTGATTAGAGCATATCAACAATTATAACTGTGCAACTTGCAGAGCAGGGAGCACGGAAAGGACTTCAGTGGAATGGAAATGAGGAGGAACTAATTAGGGAGTCAGAGGAACAGAATGTGAGAATTATTTAATTGAGAGCAGGAGGAGACACGGTGGGGTGTCTTCCTCTCTGAGGGAAGGGCAGAACTCCTTCACTTTGCAGGGTCTGGAGCTCTGGTACAACCTGTGTCAACCTGTCCTGGTGCTTGATTTCTTACCTGTGTATTTTTTCAGTGGAACTTTATTGTATTTTTATTCAGTAGAATAATTTTAGTGTCTTTTTATTCAGTAGAATAATGAAATCTTTTGTGAGGTGCTCATTTAATTCTGAGATAGCTGCACATTAGTGAATGGGAAAGTTTATAGTGTGAGTAGGAAGAATTTACAGTGTGAGTAGGAGCCTCATCATGGATATTAATAAAAAATCCTTGGGTTTTCTTTCAAGGAAGGAAATAATTGTAAGGAAATTGTAATTTTTATTATGAGGAAAGAAAAGCTCTTTGGGTTTCATTCTGGACATTCTTCCTGGAATGCTCCTGGCAGGAGCCTGGTTTCTGCTGGGGCCTGGATGTGGCAGTGCTTGGCTCTGGCACTGAAGAATCCTGTATTTTTTATGGGAAAAACTGGCCCCAGCAGCCATCTGAAGATCTGTTTGCCCCTTAGGACATGTGAATTTGGGTATTTTGTATTTCCATTCCTCTGGTGCCTCATAGGGGAATGAAGAAGGCCCATGGAAGGAGCCCTGAACTTGCTGCGTCCAGGCAGGAAGGGAAGCTCTTCCTTGCTGGTGTCTGAGATACTTTCTTCCAAAGACCAAGAAGAATGGGTTAGGTTTGCTTGGAGATGCGTTAGGTGTGCCCAGAGATGAGGTAGATACACTCCTTGGTGGTCAGATCCAGTGACAGGAGGCCAAAGATGGACCCTCACAGAGCACCAGTGCACTGGTCAGTGGGGAGAAGCAGCAGCTTGGACTTCTTCCCACCTCTTTAGGGGCTTTTGGAGAGACCTGGTGAGTTCAGGCCCATCTTCTGCGTGTGTGCAGTCCTGATCCAGGATTTCTGGAGCTGTTGTGTATAACTCAATCTCTAACCTGCTGCTGTTCCCATGTTACTGCCCAAATTTACAGGGGTCCAGAGGAGCCATGAGGCCACAAATAGTCACTGCAGGGTTCGCCCACAATACAGTGGCATTCCCCAGAGGCTTTTTGGTGTTCTCCAAGTGCTTTCCTAGTTTATTGTGGCTTCCAAAGCATCCTCAGGGTGGGTGCTACCAGAAACCATCCATGATCACAGAGCTGGAATCACTTCCAATGGCAGCTTCAGCATGGCTGGGAAGAAGGTGGATCAGTCCCCTGTGGGGCCACTTGTGTCTCCTCACTGCTCAGTGAGCCAGGCACAACAAATGATCTCTTTTGTCCCATCTCTGCTTTTTGCCATTGTTTCCATAGACACACTCAGGGCAGAGTAATGTATAAAAAATAGCTGGTGGTCCTTCCCTTCCCAGTGAGGAATGTCCCATTGGTCTGGTGGCATGATCTGGAACAACAGCAACAGGCATGCCTGCAGGGTGCCTTGCCTTGCAAAGTGTGGCCTGTTTGCACATTTTCAGGGGGGAATATGGTGGAATATTTAGTGTTGAAGCAAATCAGTGTTGAAGCAAATCTTCAGGATGCTGAAGGTCTGTTAGAGTGGGTGAGCTCGTGGCTCCCTAGGGAAGCTGCTGTCACTCCTGGGCAGTTGTCTTTTAAATGCCCAACACTAAACATCCCTCTTTATTGAGGATTTTTTTATTTTAAAGAATCATTGAATTATTTTAATAACCCTTTTTTATTCCATCTTGGATCAGCAGCAATTAAAGAGAAATGCTGATTCCATGGTCGCAGAGTCACAGAATCACAGAATGGTTTGCGTTGGAAAGGACCTTAAAGACCATTTTATTCCATGCCCTGCCATGGGCAGGGACACCTTCCACTAGCCCAGGTTGCTCCAGCCTGGCCTTGGACACTTCCAGGGATCCAGGGGCAGCCCCAGCTTCTCTGGACACCCTGAGCCAGGGCCTGCCCACCTTCACAGGGAACAATTCCTTCCCAATATGTGAAGGAATTTCAGTTTAAATCCATTCCCCTTGTCCTATCACCCCATGTGAGTGATGTCTCTATAAGATAGGGGTCTCTTGATTCCTGGTTGCCCTCCTTGCTCCTAACCTGGTTCCTGTGTGTCCCACCAGGTCGACAGTGACACAATTTGGAACGAGGTGCACTCGTCGGGCGCCGCTCGCCTGGCCGTGGGCTGTGTCATCGAGCTGGTGTTCAAAGTGGCCACAGGAGAGCTGAAGGTATGGAAGCAGCCCTCAGCTGTGCTCTGTGCAGGGCTCCAGGCTCTGCCATGCAGCAGGACCTCCAGGGCTCAGGGCTCCAGAGGTCAGGGCTCTGCCATGCAGCAGCTCCAGGACCTTTTCCCCCTCCACAATGAGGGAAAACATCATCCACTGCTACGACCTTGTGAGGAATCCATCAAGAGCAACTCCAGAGCTCCCAAGCAGGATTAAGGCTTCTGGCTGCAACCCCTGTGTCCATCGTTATCCCTTTGACCTTTTCCTTCCTTGTGTTTTGTGTGCAGAATGGATTTGCTGTTGTCCGGCCCCCGGGTCACCACGCAGAGGAGAGCACACCCATGTGAGTATGGGGTTCACTGGCTTTGTCCAGAGCCCCTTTGGTGGGGGATCCACAGCTGGGAATTCCAGAGGAATTCTGTTAGGTTATCACTGTGGAATTTCTGTTTATTGCTAGATGAGATGTGTGGTATTCAGGGCTCCCCAGATTCTCTGGAGCAGGGTAAGATCCTCATTGGTGCTTTCAGGGGGGTGTTTCCCAGCAAGGATCAGCAGTGGGTTTGGGCAAGTGTGGAACATTCTGTTTCCCTAGAGCCTGCTGCTGGAATTCAGCACTTCCAGTGGGAAATAGATCTAGTGGAAGGTGTCCCTGCCCATGGAACGAGATGAACTTCAAGGTCCCTCCCAACACAAGCCTTTCCAGGGAGGAAAGAAGAGCAGAAGGAACTCCTTCCTCCCGTGTTCTGGCTAGGTGATGGATGCAGTGGGACCACAGGAAGCTGTAATTAACACCTCTCTTTTCCTCTTGTCTCCCCTCTGCAGGGGTTTCTGCTATTTTAACTCTGTGGCAATTGCAGCCAAGCTGCTCCAGCAAAGGCTCAACGTGAGCAAAATCCTCATTGTGGACTGGGTGAGTAAATGCCCCTTCTTTCCCTTTGGGAGAGCAGGTGGAAATTATTCTGGCTGGGTTTCTTTTTGCAATAACAAGCTCTATAAGTCAGTGAAAAACTTCCTGGCTGTTGTCTGCAAGCCAAAATTTGGGGTTTTAATTGAATAAAAGTGTTCTAATTAGAGAAAAAATTCTTAAAGGGACCAGAATTTTCAAATAAAAAGCTTATTTGGAATTCTGCTGTGGCAGTGTTAAGGTTTTTATTTTTTAATAGTCTGGGAAGGCATTGGAGTGACTGAGTATCAGCCAGAAGTTTTGTCTCTGTTGCCACAAATCACACACGGGTTAAACCCTCAAGTTAAAATGCATTTATTTGTCTTTTGGACTTACTGGATGGATGTTTTTTTCCTCACTTCCCACCTGTTTTTCATGTCAGGGAGGAGCATTTGAAATAGCTGTCCTGTCACAGGCTGTGTTTGTGCATCACACAGCAGCTCAGTAGGGGAGCACTCATGAGTTGTGTTGTTTAACTTGGATTCAACAGAACTTTATTTGTATCAGTGCTCGTCCCACAGACTGACTAGAGATGCAGATGTGGGGCAACAAATATCCATCTTGGGGGATGGAGATATCCAGTATCTCCATCCCCCAAGATTGGTGTAAGCCCAGTTCTTTCCATCCAGGTAAATGAGTCCTCAGTTTCATGGACATTTGGGATTGTGTATATCGCATGTGTTAATCAAGGAGAGTAATCTCAAACTGGGTGTGCAGAACAGGTTATTCCCATTCCACATAAACCGCTTCAGCCAGATTGGAGAAAACAAAGCTCAACAGCAAGGAAAACCCCTCCAAATCCCAAACTGATCGCTTTAATCGGTGTTTTTAGTGAAGGATTAACCTCCCTGTCCCTGCAGGATGTCCACCATGGGAATGGTACTCAGCAGGCCTTCTACAACGACCCCAATGTCCTTTACATCTCACTCCATCGCTATGATGATGGCAACTTCTTCCCAGGCAGCGGCGCTCCAGATGAGGTGAGCACATGGATCCCAGAGCCCTGGGACTCAGAGGAGCTCCTGCCACCTTCAGAGCTCCTCTGGGTTTTGTGTCCCCATCCAAGGACACTCCAGGTCCCTGTGATTCAGCAGCCACGGGCACGGTGTCCTGGCTGGAGCTGACTGCAAACGAGTCACTGCAATTTAGCCCTCCAGCCCTTGTGGGACAGCCTGCTCCAGAGGAGCCCTCTGCTCTTCCCTCTGCCAGCTGTCCCAGCACTCTCTGTCCTGTTCAGGATTTCCCCTTCCTTGGCAGAAGTTGTTTCTTAGATGCTGAAGGAACAGATTGTCCATACTGCACCACCCACACTTGGTTTTCCTGGCACAGCCATGGAGCCTGTCCACCTCCCCTTCTCCACCTCCCCTTCTCCACCTCCCCTTCTTTCTGCTGGCCCTGCCCAGGCATTGCTCATCACCACCAAGGCTGCATCTCCACCCCACATTTGTGGGATTTGGGGGCCAGTCACGATGCTGCTGGAGCAAATCCCCCCTTCCTGGTGGGAAATCCAGCAAGAGGGCTGGCCAGTGGGGCTGAGAGCTGAGCTCTGGATGAATACATCCTTCCTTTCCCTCTGGGCTGGCAGGAAATATGGTCCTTCAGAGTGATTTAGCAGAGGGAAGTTTTTTGGAATACTTAGAGTGCTCCGAGACTCTCCAGGTGACATCTGAAAACTCCTTCCCCTGTCAATTTTACATTTTCTGCTTGAGAAAACATCAATATTTCCATTTCAACCTCTAAAGAAACTTAAATGTTATGTGATGCTGCTGACTGTTGTAGGGAATGAACAGCAGCCCTCTGTATCAGGCTTAATTCCTGCTTTTTAGCAATCTGGTTTAAAAAAGGAGTAATTTTTAGATGTGTCATTTTAGACCAAATAAAAGAAAGAATACAAAACAAGTTTGATTTAAACCAATCATGGATAAATAACCCACTGTGGGTAGATGAACCCTTGTGTTTTTCTAGCAAAAATATTTGCACCAGTATGAGGAATAATGTGCAATAAAAGCCATGCAGTTTTATCCAGCTGTGCAACACATTGATTTTCACTTTTTAATTATTTTTTTTTATATGCAAAGACATTCTTGGCAAAAAAACAGAAAAAAGGCTGGAAAACCCTGGTTTATTTTTCAGTTTTCCCCTCTCTCAGGTAGTTGCAGGCAGGGCAGATGGGGACATTTGCAGTACAAGCGAGGAGAGGGATGTATTTACATCTCCCACCCACATGTCCCTCAAGCAGCCAAAATCCCTTCTCTGTGAATCCTGTTTTTCTCCAGCAGAGGGGGAGCTCACTCTGATTAAAATACACTTTTTCCCCCAGTTGCAACTGTAGTGAAATATAAAACATGCTCCTGAATCAAGCTTGAAATGAATTATGCAAAGGTGTTACATGCAGCGCATGCTGCTGCAGGAAAATCGAGAGGGTGCAGTTGATGATGGGGTGGTTTTTTTGGGTGAGCAGCAGTCAAACACCACCAGTCCTCAGCTCCCATAAAGATCTGAGCATGGAGGAGCTTTATTGTCCCTCTTGTTTCAGGGACCAGGGACTAATCTACCTGACTGCTGAATCCAGATCCAAATTTGACTGGGAGAACATCAAAACAGCAAAGATTTGTTGCCAGAATTTGCTAATTAGGAGTTCCATTTCCCTTTCCAGGTTGGCACAGGAGCAGGAGTTGGTTTCAATGTTAACATGGCATTTACTGGTGGTCTGGATCCGCCCATGGGAGACACGGAATATTTAACTGCCTTCAGGTACTACTGAATTTTCCCTCTCACAAATGTATTTTTCACTTCATCTGGGTTTCTTTCTCCTTGTGCCATTCTCCGTGATTTACTTTTTATAAGCTTTAAAATTTGGATATTATTTATCCAGGAGAGGCCCTGGCACAGGGTGCCCAGAGCAGCTGTGGCTGCCCCTGGATCCCTGGAAGTTCCCAGGCCAGGTTGGAAACTGGGGCTTGGAGGAACCTGGGATAGTGGAAGGTGTCCCTGCCCATGGCAGGGGTGGCACTGGATGATCTTCTTTAAATCTCCTTCCCACCCAAACCAGTCCATGATTTTTCTTGGGCACTGTCCTGTCCCACTCCCTGGCTCCCCTGTGCCGTGGGTGCACCTGGCCTCTCCTTTAACAATCTGAAGTGCTTTTCTGTCCTCCTCACACCTCTGGTGGCCTAAATTCAGACACACACACACTTGCCAGAGCACGGGGTGTGAATTTCTGGGACATCACCTTCGTGGAAGGGCATTAAATCCTGGAGCATTATTTTCTGCTCTTCCCTGTTACATCCCGTTAGGCTGAGCAAAAAGCGCCTTTTCCCCCTCTTCATTCTGCCATCATGAAGCCGTCAGAGAACACACATGATTTTAAATGACACCAAATTACTGCCATTTGTGTCATTCCTGGCTCGGGAAGGCAGCACATTGCTCCAGCGTGGAAGCCTGGCTATCCCAGCCACCCCAGGATGGATCTCTTCATAGCCAGAGCACCCGGAGCTGGGGACATTAAATATTAACTGAGTGTCCAGGCTCCTGGAAAAGGCTCAGGGCTGCACACTGAGGCCTTTGCCAGCCATTCCTGGGGTCTGCTTGCCTGGACACTGCAGCTATTTTGGGAACAGCCTTTGGAGTGGGTCACAGCCCTTATTTTGGGGAGTTTTGGGGGAGCTGGGGGATGCTCCTTCCAGAGCCTGCACACCTTCAGTTTAACCATAAGTTAAACAAGAAGCATTTTTTTCATCCTATGCCAAGTTTGGCCATGATAGTACATTATCAAGTGACCTTTTTAAATCTTAACCAGCTCCTTTGAAAAACATTTTCCCCCCCCACCCCCCAAATCTTTCTATTGATTTTAATGTAAAATAACGCTTTGAAGTTTGCAATTTATAGTCCCCCGAGAGTTAGAAAGTGAAGGGAATGGGTCATATATCCTATTTTTCCCCCCTTCTTTTCTTGCTTTAGCCCCTTGAGACAATACATGCCTTCAAGGCAGCACCTTGTTATTCCACCCCGTCGAATGCCACGTTGCATTTGCTGGGGATCAAACCGAAGATGAAGAAAAGATAAGAAAATTGGCCATAATGAACTCCAGAAGCAGGAGGCATTTTCACCATGAACTTGGAAACTCGCAGTGGAGAACTGAGCTTTAATTCAAACCAGTCCGAATGCCAAACTGTGAGGCTTTGAAGTCTGGAGAGGAATCAGTGGAAATCCTTTGAGCTAGGCAAAGATACTGATAGACTCTTTCTTTTTTTTTTTTTTTCCAAGCCTTAACTCTTCACATGCCTGTCTGTTTCTAGGGGGAAAAAGTCCTTGCCTGGACACTGCAGCTATTTTGGGAACAGCCTTTGGAGTGGGTCACAGCCCTTATTTTGGGGAGTTTTGGGGGAGCTGGGGGATGCTCCTTCCAGAGCCTGCACACCTTCAGTTTAACCATAAGTTAAACAAGAAGCATTTTTTTCATCCTATGCCAAGTTTGGCCATGATAGTACATTATCAAGTGACCTTTTTAAATCTTAACCAGCTCCTTTGAAAAACATTTTTCCCCCCCACCCCCCAAATCTTTCTATTGATTTTAATGTAAAATAACGCTTTGAAGTTTGCAATTTATAGTCCCCCGAGAGTTAGAAAGTGAAGGGAATGGGTCATATATCCTATTTTTCCCCCCTTCTTTTCTTGCTTTAGCCCCTTGAGACAATACATGCCTTCAAGGCAGCACCTTGTTATTCCACCCCGTCGAATGCCACGTTGCATTTGCTGGGGATCAAACCGAAGATGAAGAAAAGATAAGAAAATTGGCCATAATGAACTCCAGAAGCAGGAGGCATTTTCACCATGAACTTGGAAACTCGCAGTGGAGAACTGAGCTTTAATTCAAACCAGTCCGAATGCCAAACTGTGAGGCTTTGAAGTCTGGAGAGGAATCAGTGGAAATCCTTTGAGCTAGGCAAAGATACTGATAGACTCTTTCTTTTTTTTTTTTTTTCCAAGCCTTAACTCTTCACATGCCTGTCTGTTTCTAGGGGGAAAAAGTCCTTTTTCTGTGTAAAAGGAGCAGATTTAAATAAGCAACATGCTCCTCATTTTTTGTTGTTATGTTTCAGGAAAAGCCAGTGTGTGTGGGTTTGAGAAAGTAACTGAGATAATTCTCCTTGTGAATGAGAGAAATGAGGAAATAAATAAATCCCAGTGAAACCACTCATCCCCACACTGAAAACCTATTTCAGAGTGGGTTTGCTCCATGCAAGAAAGAGATGGGAACTCAGATCAGTGATTTTCATCCTCTCTCCAAATATTATTAAATTATTAGTCCTGGGGTGCCCAAGCTCTCCTGACCTTTGGATGGTCCTTAATGCCATCGAGACATATCAGAAGTGAAGAAGAGTTAAAAATGAGCTTTCCTCTGCACTTTGTCACTTGTTGCCTTCCTAACCTGCAGCTGAAATCACTGCCTGCCCCAGCTCCAGGTTGGGGTGCACTGTTTTTGTGGTGGGGAGGGGGTGATCAGAAGGGATCTTGCAGGTTTTTGGGAGCCTGGAGCTCCTGCATCCTGTGGGTAGCTGCGGCTGGGCCAGAGTCAGCTCCACAGCCCATGTCTGAAGTCACCCCCCGAGTGTTGGGCAATCCCAGATTGCACAGATCAGGCAGAAATGGGGTCAATTTAATGGGAAGAATGCAGGGCACGTCGTTCCCAAAGTCCTGAACTGCCCAGAACATTCCCGGTGCCTCTGCTGTTGTTCCGTAGTTACAGAAACAAACAAGTTGTAAAATTCAGAGGGGTTTTTTGGACCAGGCTTTGTTGTTCCCTTACGTTTTACATCAGCTGAAATCCTGTTTGCCTCTCTCAATCCTCCTGATCCAGGTGCAAATCCAGCTAAGAGACCTGTAGGAAAAATGGGAAAGCTTCAGCTGGTTCTTTATTACACGGGAACAGCAATTAGTGAAATTTAAAATGTTTTATCTGCAGGAGTTTCCCTCTGAATTTACTGCAAGGAAGTTGTCCCGATGATGCCAGCAGTTGTGTTGTGTCTGAGAATTTCTTCCCCTGTCCCAGTAATTCCACCATAATAATTCCAGCCATGATTCCACATACAGCTTGATTCCAATTTTGACTTTATTTAAAATACCTCAGCCAGAAGGAAAAAGCCAGGACTGCACTTCCCCCTTCCTTTCAAAAAGCATTAAACAAGTTCAGAGACCAATTTTAGGGGCATTTAGGTTTTTCCCTCGATCCATAACCCATTTCAGGAGCGAGGAAGAGGGTGAGGGGGAAGAGATGCTGATGTTTTGCCTGGAATGGTTGTTGCTGTATTTTCAATTTCATGCTCTCCCCACGCTGATTTCATCCCAAAATTCCTAATCCCTTTTGATACAGTAAATGACCATGAAGAAGCAAAGACTGGAATTTTCAGGAAGCTGATTAGCCTGAGGAGCAGTGGATAATATTTTTATTTTATATATGTAAAATATGTAATGTGTGTAAAACCATCTATAGAAATATACACATGATATATATGAAATATAATATATATTAATAGATATATAAATATATGCATAATATAAATATATACACTTAACATAAATAAATTTATACATAGCACATATTAAAAACAATATATATAAAGCATAGAGTTGGCCAAGAGTGGGAAAAAGTCTCTAAAAAAGTGTTCAGCCTTCTAAGTTTCACCAATTTACTCACTGCAATGGAGCATTTAAAGCCCAAAATAATCCTCTGTAGGATAGTTTCATTTACCTATCATTTATTAAGCATTTAATTGGGGAATTAGCTAATGCCAGGCTAAAAATTGTTCATTCAGCCTTCTGGAAAATAGATCTAAAATTGCATTTATTCTTTTTTCCTCTCTTCCAAGCGATTGCAGAGCACAATGGGGAGGCTTTGCTGGTTGCAGCCATCAGTTTGCTCTCGTGTAGAGCTGTTCAGCTCAGCTGTAACCAGGCAAATAAAAGGATTTCATTTATTTTAAGCAAGCAAAACAAGCTTCTGAAATTAGGAAAATTTTGGTTTCCTTGTTTTTTAAAAAATTCTACATGGATTGAATAAGTATTCAGTGTTAGGAATATTCATTACTCAGTGAATAACTTTACAGCCACCTCAGCGATTCCTTAAAAGACCCAGCTCCAGGCAGAGCTGCTTATCTCCTGGGTAATAATTCAAATTTCTGGCTTTTTTAGAGTCTCATCAGCAGGGCAAAGCCAAGGGGTTGTTTCCAGTTTAATCCTTGTTTCCCCTCGAGGGTTTGGCTTTACTGAGGTGGATCTGAGTGAAGGGCTGGTTTTGTCTGTGGACAAGGGAAAATTAAAAAGCAAAAAGCTGAACGAGATGTGTCCAAAACGTTGTCCACAGATGGAGTCTCGGAAACACTCCGGATTTTTGTCATTTTTTCTTACAACTGAAAACACAAAATGAGGGAGTTCTGGGTTTGACCCTCCTGGATCAAGTTTTACATCCATGCGGAACATCAGACAGAGTTTGATGTGGCTTTGGGATGCTGGTGTCATACTGGAATGAGGAGAAGGGCTTTTCTCTCCTCAAACTGCCCCTGGCAGGGCTCAGGATTAGCCCTGGGTGCTGTGTGGCTGTGCTGGAGGAGTCACTGTGCCACTGTCACCCACAGCCACCTCCAGCTGAGGGTCACCAGCTGCCCCGTTCCTCAGGAGCCTCAGGACACCTGTGCCAGGAGCTGAAATGAGATGGTGGTCAGGGTTCTTCCCAGCCATGCTGTGCTCCATGAGCTGTCCCCTGGCTGAGAATCCCCATGGATCTGTGATCCCATGGGTTGCTCAGTGCTGATGGACCATCCCCAGCCCCTGGGGATGCAGGGGTTTGGGCTGGCTCTGGTGATCCCAAACTTCCACTGAGATCCTAGCAGCTCCCACAGTGCCGTAACTCGGGGAGGGGGAGAAATAAATCTGATTCTTTGAGCAGTTTTCCTTGGGTTAGGAATGAAAAAGCTCAGGGAAAATAAACCTTTGGCTGCTGCCCTTGCTCTGGAATTGCTGCTTCAGGCCTTGGTGAGGGAGGTGGTTTCTCCTAAAAATTTCTATGGGTTCCACCAAACTGTAAACTCACCAGCCAGAGCTGTGCTCTTGTCTTCCTCATGGAATCATCCCCCAAGGGCTAAATAGAGAGGGGCAATCATGTTGTCAGAGGAGAAAATTCAAATTCCTTGTTGGGATTTTGTGTGTATTAAGGGGAAATGCTATTCTTTTGTTCTCACAGAAGTTTCTATGTCTGCACACGGAGATCAGCAATGTTGCAGGAGGCTCTGGGGTTGCTGTGGCAAATAGTTGGGAAAACAATAAAGGTGGGAGGTGTGTGGGGGGGGGTTTTTTGGTGTCTGGGTGCCTGTTCCTGCTCTGTGGTGGCAGAGGAGACTGGAGGATGGGTTTGCTCAGTGCCTGGCAGAGGCTGATGCCCCATTCTGAGGGGCATGAGCTCAGCTGGATGTCACGAGCTGCTGACTCTGGCATATGTCTCCTGGCTGTTTAATATCCTCATGGCCAAACCTGGGAGCTTATATGAGCATTCTGATAGCACTTCAGCCATCTCAGCACAGAACAAGCCCCCCTGGGCTCTGTTTTTAGAGCATCACAATGACTCGACTCAATAAAGTGTGAGGTTCTCGTGTGTGCAAGGATTTACAGGTCCATGCTTTGGGATGTGGGTAAAATAACCTCAGTTCCTGCTCTAGAAAGTTATCCTGGCTGGTGGCTGTTCCTGGGATGGGGAAATGGGGAAATTACAGGTCAGGTTGCCCTAGGGATACATCCAGAATTCAGTAGGTGCAGTTACAATGGAAAAAATGTAATTTGGGAAGTGTGTCTTGATGTGGGGAATGGGATGTTTGCAACCTCCTGTAGGTTTTGAGGAGAATTTGTGGAGTTTGGAGAGAGAGAGAACCCAGAGGGGGAAAAAAGGTCTTTTGGTGAGAAACCACAGGAACAGATTCCTTGTTTCATTTAACTACAAACTTCAACAATCAGTAGGATGGGCATGCTGAACAATTCCATCCATTCTTTAGTAAACAAAACGTCAGAGGATGGGGAACTGGCATTGGGAGAGGTGGATTTGGGTGGGATATTTACATTCTAAAGCTGTTCGGCCCCATGGGACACTCTGGCCTTTGTTGTGGGAAATGAGAGGTGCAGCAAGGGAGGAAGGAATCACTTTGCAAAGCCTAGAGGACATGTTTTGAGGGAGGACATGGAGATAATGCCTTGGGGTGAGGTTTCCCAGGTAGTTTTGCAGCCAGATGCCCTCTTACTTTACCCTTATTCCCATGTATGTAAATCAGGATGTGATCCCAAATGGGAAATACAAGGGGTGACAACTCATTTGCCTGCTCAAAACACGAGGCAGAGGAAATCCCAGGGAGTGCAAGGAGTTCTCCCAGCCAGGCTCTCACCTTGTAGAGAAATAGGTGGGCTTTGCTGCCATGGAATGAGGGTTTGGTGAGAGGGTTTAAGCACCCCTGCCTTTGCTCAGGAACCCCTCTGACGTGTGTGCTGTGGATATTCTGTGTTCCAGGACAGTAGTGATGCCCATTGCCAACGAGTTTGCCCCAGATGTTGTGCTGGTGTCATCTGGTTTCGATGCTGTGGAAGGGCACCCCACACCCCTGGGAGGATATAATCTGTCAGCAAAATGTAAGTGGGGGCTTTACTTCTGCTGCTGTCCTATGGATTAAAGGACAGTGTTCCCAGCTTTTACTTTGCGGGGTCTATTTCAGATCTTTCATTACAATGGCAAAGCTTTCATCTTTCTTCTTTGAATTTTCATGGCATTTATCTTTTTATAATGCATATTTTGGCCCAGCTGAAGCCTTAATTTTGGGGGTTTTTTGAAACATTGCATATTTCAGATTTGAAATATTCAATATGTAATATTGTGTAATTTATTTGTAGTCACATCTCTGCTGAATTAGAGAGTTATGCTGGCATTAATATAAAATTGCAGAAAAAGGCCGTGCCAGCTCTAAACACTCTCATTGCTACCACAAATCCATTTCTTCCTCCAGGACACCTTATTAAAATTTTGAGCTGAATATCCACCTTTGAATTAATTACAGACGTCCACAAACCCTCCTTTTTGCTTTGGGTCTGGGATGTCTTTGGGAGATGCAATGAAATCCCCCCCCCCCAGGTTATGTGGAGTTTACCTGGCACTCTTTCCTTCAAATTAATCCAGAGGACAGTTTTTCTTGCAAAAAGGGTTTTACTATTATTTTTTAAGAGTTTGTTCCAGCCAGAAAAGTTGTTCTCTGCAGTGAACTTTAAAACCTCATAAGGGAGCTGAACCTGTAAACTTTATTTAAGAATAAAGTGAAATAGGTTTACAAGAGGCAAGTTCCTTGAGATATCAAGGAACACTTTGGAAAGGAAAGGTCTTGTTTACCTGCTGGTTGAGTTTGCCATGCTCTGCTCCTCTCACAAAACCAGCTGTATGCTCAGCAGTGGATGGTTTTCTCTGCCTGTTAATTTGTTAATTTGCCGACTCGCAAAGGGGTTCACTCCGAGGCAGAAAGCAGGCAGTGGGGATGGAGGGTAGAAATTCCCTGGCTTCTCCTTTGTTTGGCTTTTTGATTTTATTTTTTTTCCTCCTGGAGGGGCAAGGTTGCTTTGAGGACACGTTTTTTAAATCCTCGCCGCTTGGTTCTGTTTTGTTTAAAGGGGGCAGAAATGTATTGTGTGTCATCTGATCAAAGTGCCGGGTGCCCCTGGAATTTTTATAGCATATTATGGATGGGAAGAGCTGTCTGCTGAGAACGAGATGTCAAACCTAAATCTCTCTGGGGCACTGTGCTGCTGCTATCCCCACCCAAACTGAGCCCATTCCCCTTCCTCCCCCTTCCCCCAAAGCAATATCCAGCAGAAATCCGCCCTTTTCCCTGCTTCCAAAGGGAATGTTGGCTGCTGGCTTTAATTTGGGGTGCTGAGGGGTGGCAAGGGGAGGATGGTGATGCTCTCAGCTGGGGTGGTGCTGGTGGGGGACACAGGGATCCATCCCAGGGAAGCTGCAGCTGGAGCCGCGCAGCGAGCGCATTGCAGCCCAACCTGGCTCGCGTTATGCGCCGAGCCTTTTCAAATCCCCGCTGGCTTTTTAATATGATGTAATTCCTCTCCCTAATTCTTTGATCCTCTGCCAGGAGCCCCATTCCAGCCACCACCTTTGCCCTTCTCCTGCATTTCCTCTGTTCCCTCCTTGCAGGCTTCGGGTACCTGACGAAGCAGCTGATGGGCCTGGCCGGGGGCCGCGTCGTGCTGGCCCTCGAGGGTGGCCACGACCTCACGGCCATCTGCGACGCCTCGGAGGCTTGTGTGTCTGCCCTGCTGGGAAACGAGGTACAGGCACCCCCAAAACCCGCCCCCACCTCGCCTTTGGGCGTCTCATCCTCCCGTCTGCCAAGTTTCTGCCGTTGTTTTGCATCCTTCTGACACTTGGTGTTTATAGGAGTGTTTGTTTTATGCTTAAAAGCCACCTGTGCTTTGCAGTCCGTGCAATGAGTGAAACAGCTAAGAATGATTTTTGGGTTTGTTCTTTCTCCAAATAATTTGCTTCGTGCTCTTTGAAAAAGAGCTCTTTCAATTAATTTCTGAATTTGTTGTGCAAGTCTTCCCTTCTCTTTGCTCCCCTCTCTAGTCCTACAGCCTGTGGCTGCTACATGGGGCAGCTTGCTTGACATGGTTTGCAGCTGGGTTTTTTCCTAGGAGTTACATTTTCTATTTTCTGCACGTTGCTGTGTAGGAAAAGCCTTGACTGTGTCAGAAAAATTGACCAGAAAGGTTAGGGGGGGATGATTGCGAGATAAGAGCCAGACAGAGAAGTACAGCAAGATGTTGGATTCTGAAGAGCTCAGAGTATTTTCCTGCAGAGGAAATTTTAGATACTCCATCTTTTCTGCTTTTTCCCCCCCACTTTTAGTATCAGTGGGATGAAAGAAGGAACGCTACATCTACACATCTTTGAAATCCTTGCAGGGGTGTTGACTCCACACTGCCCTGGGCAGCCTGACTGAATGCCTGAGCATGCTTCCAGTGAAGGAATTTTCCCTAATATCCAACCTAAACCTCCTCTGGTGCAGCTTGAAACCATGTTTGAGGGCTTTTGGGTACGGATACTTTGGGCTGACGTGCAGCTCCAGAGGAGCTGAGCAGTGGGTCTGTTTCTAGTGGGACCTGATTTCTGCAGAAGGTTGTAGTTCAGTGGCCATCAGGTGTCTGGAAAGACAGAGAAGGAGCTTGGATTTGCATGGCGGTGTGGAGCAGTTCGACCTTCAGCCTGTTGGAGAAGTGTTCTGTCTTGGAGTGTCCACACTCAGCGTTAGGTGGGAGGCTGGAGGAGCCAGGCCAGGAGATAAACCAGCTGGGATTCATCAGGAGCACCTGCTTCCATCATCCAGCATCCCAGCTCCCAGTGTCCAGGGAGCATCCTGCTCCTTGTGCTTGGCCAGGCAGTTCTGAGAAGGCTCTGGGCATGGGGAATGGCTGCAGCCTGCACTCAGCCCTCAGAATAGCTGAAAACTCAGGAGGCAGCTGCCACACCAGCATGGAAACAGGGGGGTTCCAGTGGTGGGGCACTGGCACAGGTTTCATAGAGAAGCTGTGGCTGCCCCTGGATCCCTGGAAGTGTCCAAGGCCAGGATTAGGTTTGGAGCAGCCTGGGATAGTGGAAGGTGTCTCTGTCCCAGGCAGGGGTTGGGACTGGATGAGCTCTAAGGTCCCTTGTAAGCCAGACCTTCCTGGGATTCTGTGAGGTGTTTATTGTAGCACCCATATGTTTTAAGTGGTCACTACAGACAATTCCTCTGGCTCCAGCCACCTTTGGGTGCAGGATGCACTTTGAAAGGGAAGCAATGGGAATAACACCTGGAGGATGTCGTTCCTCCTGCTCAGTGGGCTCCTAGGAGCACAGGAGGCTGACTGCAACCACCAGCAGTAAATAAGTGCTTGATCCAAGCCATGGGTGTGTTTTGGGAGTGTGAGGTTGTGGGGAGAGCTCAGCACTCAGGATGCCTTGGATGTTGTGAGCTGCCTGATTTCATTGAGCAAAGGAAATATTAATCCTTAAAGATAAAAACCATTGATTATTTTAATCATGGCTACAAGGACACTTAAACGCAGACCTGCTCTCACTTGTCCTAGGTGGGCTGGGCAGATAGGGTAATATTCCCTGGCTTACCCACACATCAGAAAGCAGGAAGCACTCATTTGATCCAGGTCTTTCCTGGAACCTTTTGAAGGCAGGGGAGTCGGGGGGAGCGGCTGCAGCTCTGTGTTGCGGCCCTTTGATGCGGTTTGATCTACAGCGTGTCGGAGGATCCTGCCTGCACACACATGGACAGGCAGCTGTGGCCAGGGCGGGCTGCAGGGAGCTGGGCTGGCTCAGGAGCCATCCTGGAGCTCCACTGGGGCTGGTAGGAAATGAGGGGAGCAGTGCCAGTCCCCTGAGCACGGCGTCCACCGGCAGAGATCAAAACTCCCGCGTCGGGAGAAGCACGGGGCCAGCGCAGGAACCAGCTCCTTTCCAGCCTGCCAGGAAATTAAATCAGAGCTGGGGCTGTGCAGCTGATTACTACACTGGGGAGGGGGTCAGGGCTGGGGAATGGACCTGCATTGCTGTGCTGGCAGAACTGTGCAATGCTCACAGGGCTTCAGTGGAAATCAGGAGTGGGAAATCAGAGAGAGACTTTGAGACAGTCTGAGAGATTTTGGGTTGTTCCGCCTGGAGAAGGCTCCAGGGAGAAGTCTTCCAGTGCCTAAAGTGACTCCAAGAGAGCTGGACAGGAACTTTAGGCAAGGCTCTGATGGGACAGGAAAAGGGGGAATGGTTTTAATCTATTTTAACCCAGAGGGCAGGGTTAGATGGGATATTGGGAAGGAATTGTTCCCTGGGAATTGTTCTCTGGGCACAGGGTGCCCAGGCCAGCTGTGGCTGCCCTTGGATCCCCAGAAGTGTCCCAGGCCAGGCTGGGCAGGGCTTGCAGCAGCCTGGGATAGTGGAAGATGTCCCTGCCCATGGCAGGGGGTGAGATGAGATGAGTTTTAAGATCCCTTCACCCCCCAGTATTCCATGATTCCATGATTTTGAGGTCTGCTGATGGCAGTCCAGACCAGTTAGCCACCGTTCCTTTCCCATTACTCTGCAGGGCTGTTCAGTCCATCGTGGACATCCCCAGCCTCTGCCCTTCAAACAAGAAGGCCTCATGCCCAGAGGTTTTTTGCTCCCTTTTCCACAGGCTGAGGCTCTTTGTGAATGCTATTTCAGGAGGAGGAGTGACTTCTGGAATCAGGAACATGCTTTGTCTCAGTGTCAACCAAGAGGCCTTGGAAAGCTCTGGCATAAAGACTTATCCAGGAATTGCTTTTGCCTTCACTCAATGTCATACAGAAACCAGTCTGGCGCAGAACTATTTTTAGAGTGGAGAATTAATAAAAAGTACAATCCATAATTACTGAATCTGGAATGCAGCATCCCGTGAAGTACCTATGGAATGGCTGCCATGTGCTCATAAGAGCAGTTTTGGCTGCAGCTTCTCTTGGCTTTGAGCAAAGTTAAACTTTGCCATAGATATTTTTAACTCTTAAACTCTGGCTGTTCTTTGCTGGGAAACATCCCTGGTTGAGCTGTTTTCAGCACAGTTAACAGCAGTGTTGTTTTGGACAGCCCACCTTGGAGGTTTGGGATGAATTCATTCATTAGTAGAGAACCTGGGAGGGCAGAGGTGTCTTCTCCGTCTTGAGTTTTTCTAAAGGAAATCAAATAAATCCTAAAATATTCCTCCATCAGTGCTTGGCAGGCCTTTTCCTGGGATAGCACAGGCATGTTCCCACTGCAGAATGACTAGTGGAAGGTGTCCCTGCCCGTGGCAGGCATGGAGTGGGATGAGCTTTAATGTTCCTTCCCACCCAAACCATTCTGGGATTCAATGGTAACATTCCTTTGGTGTTCCTCTCTCTCTCTCTCCAGCTTGACCCTCTTCCAGAGAAGGTTTTCCAGCAGAGAGCAAATGCTAACGCGGTGCATTCCATGGAGAAGGTCATCGAGATCCACAGTGAGTGCAGCCCCACCGACCCAGCTGGGTCCCTGGAGTCCCCCCTTGGGCTTCCCCACCATTCTGCCAGCTCCCTGCTCCCGTTTCCCAGTTTGCTGGTGGTCACTGCACCCTGAGCTGGGTTTGTGCAGCTGCAGGCTGGTGTTGCTGTGGATGGAGCCGTGCCCAGCAGGGCTTTAGCCTTTAGGGGGAATTACAGAATCAGAGCACGGCTTAGGTAGACCTCCAGGAGGATCCAGTCTAGCTGTTAACCCAACAAAAATTAAAAGGTCTAAAATCTCTGCAAAGGACAGACTGTCCTGCCATCAGAGGGTGCTCTTAATACTTCAAAAGCAGTTAAGTATCTCTGAATAGCACAAGTCTTATTGGGTGTTGTGGCACCCATTAATTAGGAGTAGATAGGCGTGGAAGTGAAGCAGGCTCTCAGGCACAGGCTGGGATTCTTGGAATGTCCTGTGCAGGACCAGGAGTTGGACGCCATGATTTCTCCCAAGGGATGATCCCTTCCAAGGATATTCTGTAAGTTTTGCTGACAGTTGCTGATATTTTAGGTTTATTTAGCTAAGCAGTTTTAAATCATTGCATTGAACCTTGCCTGGAGAAATGATTGGAAATTCTTTCCTCTGGAGCCTTCCCAGTGCTCTTCCCAATGCAAAAAGGTGTAAAACTGCCAACATAAAAAACACTTTGGAGGTTGAAGCTTGTACTTGGTGGTCTTGGAGGTTTTTTCCAACTTAATGGCTCTAAATACATCTTGGACTTCTTTAGTCTTCAGGGATTTGCCCACTGAAAGTACGTGGCAGTCAGCAGGTGGATCCAGACCTGGACTGCATCCTTCCCTCTCCTGGATTTTTTGGTAGAGAGACATTTCCAGTCACACTTGTCCTTGGGTCTAGAAGTTTCTGAGGTATTTGAAGTGGAAAAAGGAATTCTTTTTTGAGCACCTAAGGCCCTTAAAGTGTATGGATCAGATGAGTGTTCCTTGGGCAGTTCCGAGCCGGTGGCTGGGTTTGGGAAAGCAGGAGCTGGAATGGTGCCCTGATGGCCCTGTTGTCACCTCTCCCCCAGGCAAGTACTGGCATTCCCTGCAGCGTTTTGCCTCCACGGTGGGATATTCCCTGGTGGAGGCCCAGAAGTGTGAGAACGAGGAGGCAGAGACAGTGACGGCCATGGCATCGCTGTCGGTGGGTGTGAAGCCGGCGGAGAAGAGGTCAGTGGTTTCCCATCTCATTTCCAGTCTGTGCAGCCAGGAGGAGCAGCCTTGCAGGTCAATCCTCTCCTTTCAGCCACTGCTGCTGTGCTCCCCACATCCCCTGTCTTCCATGGGTTCCCAGAAGACCTCCCGGGCTGCAGGAGAGCAGCAGAGCCATGAGCTCTGTGCATGCACCCTGTGCCTGAGCCTTCTGTTCTGAGCGTGGTTTTGGACCACAAAAAGGAATTTTATTTTGCTGGGGAAAATCTTAATGTTGCCCAAGTGAGATGGTCCAAAAACCCTTCTTGGTGGCAAGTTTAATTCAGGTGATCCCAGCTGGCTGGGTGGGAAGGTGATGGGAACATAAAGAGTGAGACTTGGCACCACGAATTGTCCAGCTGTATCATGCCAAACCCTCTTTTCTCTCTCCCCTCCCTGTCCCACCGTGCCTGCCTGCACAATCCCTCAGACCTGAGGACGAACCCATGGAAGAGGAGCCTCCCCTGTAGCACCCACCTTCGAGCTGGAGTTCTCCTGTCTGTTCGTCTTCGTCTTGAAGCTCTGCCAAGAAGCTTTCTCTTGTTACTCCTGCGTCCTGTCACGGTTATTTCCCGAACACGGAAGGACAGCCAGGTGTAAAGCAAAGCAAGCGACACAAAAAACAAATCTCTCTGCATCTTTGAGTCTCTTTTTGCTGACAAAAACGCTGGTGAAGAGCAGCAAAGGACTGACGCGTTGGGCACTCTTCCTCTGGTCCTCACTGGGAGCAGAAAGAGGAACGATGCCTGGGAAGTCTTTGGCAGAATTGCCAAACAAAAACGAAACGCGAGAATGATAAAGAAATCAAAGATTCAACAACACAAATCAAACAAACCTTAACATAAAACTGGTGCTTACAAAGTTGATTACCCACAACTGAGCAATCTCCGCTTGAACCACTCAACCCATTGTGTACTTTCATTTCTTGGATATTTGGAAATGGCTTTTGCCTGCCTGTGAGTCAGCAGCAGCTCTTGTCGGAACTGGAACGTTGGGAGATGATGGTGAATTTTTAACGGGGAGGGACAGGGAATGAGGGACTCATCTGACACCTAAAGCAAAGGGAAGCAGAAGGGGGGAACGGTAGCCCAGATGGAGTCGGCTTTATTGTCTCCAAAGCCATCTGAAGATGAGTTTGTGCCTTTTTTTTTAATTGATGGATTTGGTGCAGCTGGATTTTCTGAAGTTTGAGGAACAATGCCTTAAGTAAAAATTAATTAAAAAAAACAAAACACACATGAAAAAAAAAAAAAAGAAAAAGAAAAAAAAAATAACACAGCAGTTCCTGAATATTTTTCCTCTGGTTGGGAAAGCCAAGGACTGCCATCAGGAAGGAAGACTTTTTGGCTTGTGCTGGCATGATGGTGGGAAGCAGGCATCAGCTGAACAGAGCGTCTCCAAAAACTGTCGACAAGTTTGGATTTGTTTTGTTTTCTTTCATTGCTGTTTCAGAGAAAAGGAAAAAAGAAAAAAAAAATTAAGGTAGTTGCCAAAAAAGTGGCAAATACTGTTGGGTCTTTGAAATTCAACCATTTTTAACAACCAATTTTCAAATGTTTTCTCTCTCTTCTACATTATCTAGCAATTGAACTTACCAATTTGGTTGTTGAAGCATGTATTAGACACAAATGCAGGTTTTAAGACTGGAATGCTTTTTATTAAAAGCAACTAGCATGAGATATTGCTTAAATTGTTAGGTATAAATATATATATGTGTATAATGTATATTCCAAATGTATTCCAAGCTTAGAAACCGGATTCCTATGAATTATTGAGAAGAATATTTATGATGCATTTATAGAAAAAAGAAAACAAATATATGTAATAAATGCATACTCTAACAGTAGCCATTGGAAGCTCCCTAGGGACAGATTTGGGAATTGGAACGTCAAAGGTGCTTTTGGAAAAGGATCTAGGTTGAAACTCGAGGACTTGTCAGGTGACAGGTTGGGAAGTTTTTCAGAAAGCCAACACTTTAGCCACTGGGCAACTACCCTAAACATTTGTATTTTAATTTAAGGTTTTTAGTTGTGATCCTTTTCTAACAAACATGAGAAAAAAAAGTTTTTTATAGCAAAGACGCTGAATTTGCTGTTAATTTTTATATGGATATTTCCCAAAACCCTCCAGAAGCCTTGTTTGTGTGACTCTGACATTTCTTTTCCATTTGGCAGGTTTCCTTTCTGAACGGCAATAGCATCTAAACCTTTCTTCCTCCCTCTTTTCTTGCTTTATGATACATGGATTTTCCTTTTATTTTCTTATTTTAATTTTTTTTTTCTCTGTATTGTTTTCTCTCCTTTTCCTCAACTCTTTTGTACAGTGAGCAGCTTTCTGCAGGTGTAAGGAACTGTGGGCAGACCAACAGAGGTTGTTTTTTTCCGGGAAAGGGCGCATTTTACCGAGGAGGAGGAGGATGAGGGACCGCCATGGGCTCCTTTGTTGTACTGATTCCGCCAACTGTATATTTCCTCAGCTCTCTTGTAGTAGCTCTGTAAAGAAAATAAGGAATTTTCTTACCTGGTAGTGTTCAGTGGGCGATGCCTTTGTCCTGCCCGCGGCTCCTGGCGCTGCCTGCCCTCGGGAAGGCTCCTTGGATACTCCAGGACCGCCGGTGTTTTCTCTCTGCCGGACATGCCCGCAAACTCCCCGGCTCCTCTCTCCCTCTTTTTCTCCCCTCTTCTTCTTCTTCCTGATGCTGGGAGGGGTTTTGGAGGCTTTTTTTTTTTTGCCCCCCCCCACCCCAGGAGGTCATTGCCTCCCGGGAATGCCGGGTGGGAGAGGCTGCGAGCCCCATCACAGAGCGTGGAGTGTCTTCGGGAGACAGCGCTCCCTGCGTGCCTTCCTCCATAGGAAGCATAGGACAGCACATCCCTCTTCCCAGCACAGCTTCTCCTTAACCACCCTTCCTTCATTTATCCTGCTCCCATGGTGACTGGTGGGGTTGCTTCCAGTAACTTCTCTTCTTTCCAGTTCTCGAAGCAGCCGCTTTCGTTCCGTTCAGGACTCACTCGTGGGAGGAATCGGGAGCATGACCCCATGCTGGAGGCTTTTGTTTCCTTCCTCAATTTCTAGCACAGTTTCAGAACCAGACACTACAGTATTTGAGTTGTGCAAACCCAAGTACGTCCTAAAACCCCAAAAAGCTCCAGTGGCAAGGCCTGTCCTCGGCATATCCTAAAAATCCCCCCGTGTGAGAGCACCACATACCCGGGGATGTTGTGGTTTGGGTTTTCTTCCCTCTGACCACGCTGCTGCTGTGATCTCAAATCCATCCGACTGCCGAATTTGGTGACAGATGTGAGGTTTTGCTCCCTGTGCCATGGGCAGTGCCTGTGTTTACACCTCCCTTTGTGTTGTCAGCTCTTCCCCGGAAGGTTTTTGACATTTCTGCTCCCGGTTGTGGCAAAGCTTTTTCCTTCCTTTTTGCTCTCCCGGGAGCTGCCGGCTGACTGTGCTGAGCCGGTTCCTTTGGAAAATCTGGAGGAGCATGTTGGGATGACACCTTCCTTCCTTCCTTCCTTCCTTTCCCTCAGCTTTTTGCCGGGATGGGAAGATTTTTCCCAAGATGACAGAGCTCGTCTCCTCCATACTCCCGGCAATGTGGATTTGTTTCGCAGCATCCCCCTTTTCCCTGGGAACGCTCTTCCCTGGGCTGTGACCTTCCCTGGGGATGCTCTTCCCCGGGGATGCTTTCCAGGGCCAGTGCAGGCACGGAGGGAAAGGAGGGAGCCCTCGTTTTGAGGCTCTCCAGGGGGATTTTTCACCTTTTTGAGCCATTAAGCTTTCCATTTCAGATGACTTTGCCACAGGGGCGGCCGTGCCAGCGGGGTGGGAGCCCGGGATGCTCCCACATCCCGGCATGTGCTGCCCAGGGCATCCTTTATACCTGCTTGGGAAGAAAAGCAACATCTTTCAATCCTCTTTACAGTGAAGTGAGGCCCAGTTTGCAGTACACAAGTAACCATTGGGGGTTTTTTGGTTGGTGGTTTTTTTTTGTTTGGTTGGTTGTTTTTTTTGTTGGGATTTTTTTTTACTTTCGATACAAAACATTCCTTTTTTTATTAGTCACGGTCATGTACTCATTCCATTCTTCCTTTTGTAAACTTTTTTGGGCCCATGTTCTTTTACGGGCATTGATATATATAAATATATATATAAATATATATGAATATATTTTTTTAAGTTTCCTACACCTTGAGGTTGCATGGTCTGTAAGGTTGGCATGTCTTTATATTGTATACAGATTTTGCACGCCAAACTTGGCAGCTTTGAAAACGATAATGAGAAAAAGAAAACAAAAACAACAAAAAAAAAAAAAGAGGTGGTTTGGGGTTTCTTTGGGTTGGTTTTTGTTTTGGTTTGGTTTTATATTGTTTTGTTTTTTTTTTTTCTCTCGTGGCATTTGTGGAGACTAAAGGTTGGGATGTTGTTGTCACACACACTCACTCACCCACACAGCTACACACCAAGGAAGAAGAGTGGGAATTCTTTTTTTATTTTTTTTGGAGTCTTACTGAACTTAATAAGAAGAAATTGTGCTTTTTATTGTTAAAAAGAGTAAATAAATAAAAAAACAAAAAGGACTACTTAAACATTTCTCATTTTAAGAAGAAAAGAAAAAACTAAGATGTTTATCTAGCACTTGTGACTTACCAATAATAGAGTTTATTGTATTTATGTGGAAACAGTGTTTTTAGGGAAACTACGCCGAACACACCAAGTAAACTGCCTGTGTCATTATTATTATTGTTATTATTATTATTTTCCTTTGGGTTGGTGTTTTTGCTTTGATTTCTCGGCTGGGTGGGGAGGTTGGATGCAACCCTTGTGTCAACACACAGAGTCATTCATTCCGAGGAGCCGGACAGATGGATGGATGGATGAGGAGGACTTTAAAGAGTTAACTCTTCAGCACAGCTGCGTTAACTTTTTTAAGAAATTACTTTTACATGATGTATTTTTGCTCGGTTTCACTTTAAGCAGTCGTGTACTGTGCAACACTGTGGTTTAAAAACGAGACTTTACAGCAAGAGGCAAAACGTGTTTCTTCATTGTCATGAAGTTGGGCTCGTTCTCAGCTCATCTTCATTTTGTCTTTGATATTGATGATGAAAAAGAAAAAAAAAGTATCCTATTGAAAGAAAATAAATTAACACTTTTTCTGTGCTCCATAGTGGAGGCGCTATTTTCCAATTTATGAGGATGACAAACTTATATATATAATATATATATAAAAGTGGGGGTGGGGAGGGGGGGAAGGGGTTGAAACATTATTCACCCGAGAGCTTATTACAGATATGTAGTATCAAAAAGTTGTAACGATATTATATTCTACTTTATACCTATACATGCTCAGTATGACGTCACCATTGGTAGCAGCTACCGGTTTACGCTGTAATTTAGACACAATTTCACTCTTCTTGTATGGACCCTACTTTCAGTGATGGTAGCATTCTTTGTGCTCGACTTTCCGACGGTCCTTTCTTTTAAACTGGTGGAGTTGGATTGTTTTTCTCATTCTTGTTTTTTCTTTCTTTGTTTTTATTTTATTTTTATTTCATTTTTCTCTTTTCTCTTTATTTTGTTTGGGGTTTTTTTGTTTGGTTGGTTTTTTCTTTCTTTTTTTTTTTTTTTTACTGGCCAATGGTGTCTTTCTCTGACAGTACCGACTTCAATTTCAACTTTATTAGGAGTCCAGTATTTTGTACCACATTATGACAACTTGTTATTCTTGTGGTGTAAATAAAAGAAAAAAGTTAATTATAGTACAACCCAGGTTTCTGCTGCTGATCTTCTTTCCTTCCTTTGCTGGGATGGGGCGTTTCATCTGTTGGGTTCTTGACGTGTCATGGAAGGGGGTCTTGGTGCCAGAGAGGTTTTTTGGGCAAAATATACCCATGTCTACACTGGGGTGTTCATGGAATAGCTCCTGGATTTCCCCAGTTCCCTTGTGGCTCCCAGGTGCGTGTTGACAAGTGCCTGCAAAAAACCAGTTGAGTTTCCAGGTGAAGCAGCTCCAGCTTTATACTTTCACGGCCTTTTTCATCCGTGTTTTCCCTCTGATTGGCTTCCTGCTTGTCTCTGGAGCCCCCTGGACCATCCAAAATCCATCTGCTGCACGTGTGTCACCTGGAATTGTCCTGTGGTCACAGGGGAGAAGGCCACGCTTCAGTGCTGGGCTCCTTGCAGTGACTCCCTGGAGCAGCAGCAGGTTGGTGCTCTCTGAGGGCTCCTGGTGGGAGGGGTGGGGAGGGCTCCCAGGGAAAACTCCGGATGTTCCCAATTCCCTCAGCAGTGAAACAGCCCCTGCTGCTTCAGCCTGATTCATGGGAATCATGGAGTGGTTTGGGTTGGAAGGATCCGGGAGGTCCCCTCTCATCCCACCCCTGCCATGCCAGGGATTCTTCCCACTGTCCCAGGTGGCTCCCAGCCCCAATGTCCAGCCTGGCCTTGGGCACTGCCAGGGATCCAGGGGCAGCCACAGCTGCTCTGGGCACCCTGTGCCAGCCCTGCCCACCCTCACAGGGAACAATTCCTAATTCCCAATATCCCATCCATCCCTGCCCTCTGACAGTGGAAGCCATTCCCTGTGTCCTGTTCCTCCATCCCTTGTCCCCAGTCCCTCTCCAGCTCTCCTGGAGCCCCTTCAGGCCCTGCAAGGGGCTCTGAGCTCTCCCTGTATTTGTGCAGAGTGTGGGTTGGTGATTGCTTTAGGACCATGATCTGGGGGTTCCAGCCTGGCTGGGAGGGCACCTGCAGCTCCCAGGAGCTCCTTTCTGGGAGAGAAATCCCACTGCTGGGTGACCCAGCTGGGGCAGAGACCTTGTCTGGAGGGGTGGGGGCTGTTCCAGGTGCCATCCCAGCCCCAGTGCCAGGAATCATCTCACCTGCAATGCTCACAGCTCACCCTGGCACAGGGACATCAACCTGAGGGGGGGTTGAGCTCAGTGCTGTGGCACCTGCTGATTTAGCCACAGGAATTTTTACTGCTGATCCCAAAGAAAAGGACATTGTGCTGCAAGGAATGGGGTCCAACAGGAGGTGCTTCCCTTGTGGCTCCTCCGATGTGTGCCCGTGGCTGGGTGTGAGGGATGGATGCCCAGCCTGGCACTGGCACACCTTTCCCAGGTCCCTCACTGAGTTTAATTTTCTTAATTTCACTTGTTTTACTAATATTTTTAAAGGAGGAAGAGGCTGTTTCTGCCTCTGGGCAGCAAGTCAAGGCTTTGTGCTTTTGGTGCATGCCTGTGGCAGTGGGAGCACTGCAGGGGGAGGAAAAGGGTCCAATATTAAATGTACAACCTGAGCACACGGGGCAGGAGCTCATTCTGTGCCAGCAAAACATCCTGGATTTATGACGGGATTTGGATCTGTGTGGAGTAGAAACTTTCTCCTAGGGCTGGGTTGATCTCTTAGGGAATTTTCTGAAGCTCACTCAGGCACCTGGCAGCTCATTTGTTGTCCCTGCCTGGGTGTGATGTGTTGGTGCAACCTGCAGAGCTGCCCTGGGATAGAGAGAATGATGGGGGAAATAGCGTGGGCCAAGGCTGGAGAAGGTTCATGGCCACAGGGACCTGGAAGGGCTGGACCTCTGGAGGCGCCTGGAAAACCAGGCTGTTCACAGAGCAACAGAAATACATTTAAAAAATTGTGTTAAAAAACTCAGCTCCCCAGGCTGTGGGGAAGGCACAGTCTGCCTTTTTTCCAGCAGCACCAGCTGGCAAAGCCAGTTCCTGCTGAGGCTGGGGAATACACTCCCATCCCACAGCTGTGCTAATGGAAGGCTTCAGCAGGAATGGAGCAAATCCCATCCTAATTGAGGGAAAATACTCCTAGCTGGGGGACACAGAGGGGGGCCAGGTGTCTTCTGGATGCCCACGAGGGAAAAGCAAACCTCTGCTCACATTTACACCAAATTAAATGGTTCAGTGGCAGAAGGAAATGTTTGGGGTTGAAACAAAACCACCCCAAAATCTCACTGCTGCACAGCAGAAATGGGGAAAACTTTTCCTGTGTAGGTTGGATCACACAGCCAGAGCATCACTGTGCACTAGCCACAGACAGGTGCCCTTTATCTGATTTATTACAGGCCCTTTTGAGTCTTTTTCATCTATTTCTTTATTAATTCATTCCCCTGCCCCATGGAGGGAAGGTTTAGAGTCACAGAATCACAGAAAGGGACTGGAAAGATCATCTTGTTCCAGCCCCCTGCCATGATCAGGGACTCCTTCAAATGCAGTGCAATTAAAAGGGGAAAAAAAAAAAAAGCGGGGGGGCTTACTGTATTTAGAAGGATGAGGGTGCAGACAGAATTGTGCATTTGTGCTATGTCAAGGCACAATTATCCAATGGTCAACAGCTTCAGAGTGCCTGCAGGAACAAGAAACCTGTTTCCCATTAAATCGGGAAGGGAAGGGGGAGCAATTCCTGGGCTTTAAAGGCGATTAAAGTGTCCTTGAGCAAGTTTTCAGAATTTCACTCTTCAATTACAGGTTTGAGTTTGAAAGGGGAGGGAATATAAAAACCAAAAATCCCTCCTTCCCCACTAGCAGGGAGCAATTCCTGCAATCCCCCCCAATCCCCGTGGATAATGCAGCCGCCTTTGAGCTGGCTGGGTTCAGCCGCTGGTGAGCGGCGAGAATTCCTGGAGGTGATTTATCCTGGAGCCGGTTTATCCTGGAGCCGGTTTATCCAGGAGCCGGTTTATCCTGGAGAAGGTCCCGGCGCTGCTGAGGGTCCCCAGCCCGGGCAGGGCGGCCTCTGGGCTGCTCCCAAATCCTCCTGTGGAGGAAAAGCAGGACCAAAAGGGATGAAATCCTTTGGGCGTTGGGAAAGGGGGAGAGAGCTCTCTCTGGAAGGGAGGGAGCTTGGAGCAGAAAGGGGAAAACCTCGCTGGGAGCATCCTGAGCCCATCCTGAGTCCTGCCAAGCCTGGGGAGTGTTGTATTTGGGGACCCTCGTGGCAGGAAGGAAGGAATGATGCATCTGACTCCATGTTCTCAGAAGAATAATTTATTATTTTATGATACTCTATTATAAAGAGTGAAAACAACTCATAGCAGAGTCCACTGAAACAATCACCTGTGGGTGAACAATCCCCAAACACATTCCAAAGGAGCACAACACAGGAGAAGCAAATGAGATGAGAATTGTTTTCCTTTTCTCTGAGGCTTCTCAGCTTCCCAGGAGAAAAATCCCGGGTGAAGGGACTTTACAGAAAATGTGAATGTGACAGGGGAGTACCGGGCCAGCCAAGGGAGCAGGGGCTGCACTCCCCAGCTGCTCTTAGGGAATGTCCACAGCTGCGTGCTCTCCCCTGCTCTGGGGCATGCAGCTGGGGAGGAGGAGGAGGAGGAGGAAGCTGTGGAATACCTGCACACCCGAACCACAGCTCCGGCTGGAAGCTGATGGTGCTGCCTGGCTCCCCAGGGCTGATGGATGACAGCCCCTGGCTCGCTGGGATGCTTCCCCTCCTTTTAGGGGCTGGGGATGCTCAGCCTGTGGCTGGTGAAGAGGCTCAGTGCCAGGGATAACAACCTGCCCTGGCCAGGTTCATCTGCTGGGCTTGGGCAGGCCATGGCTGTGCCAGACCCTGGGAGTGCTGAAAGTGGGGCTGGGACTGAGTTATTCCACAGGCTAATTCCTCTTTCATCTAAAGCCTTCTCATATTTGACCTCTCTCCCCCTTATCTGCGATGGGAAATTCGATTTCCACTGTTACTCCAAAACAATTCCTCTCTGTTCCCTTTGTGAGGCACGAGAGGCAGGGCTGAGGGCTGGAGTGCCCAGGGCTGCTTCCAGCCCTGCTGTGGAGAGGCTTGGAGGGCGATGGAGGGAAGAGGAATCCAAGCAGGGAAGTGTCTGCAGATCCCATCAGGGTTGGAATCCTCTGGGAGGCAGATGGATCAGGCCCCCCTCATTCCCAAGTTCCTGGCTCACCTGCCTGTGCTGCTGGGCTGCTCAGCCAGTCCTTCCTGGTGCACAGCCAGGCTGGAATTTTGTCTGGAGGCAGGGAAGTGACGGAGAAAGACGGAACTTGGCAGGTCCCAACCGCCCCTCAGTCAGAAAACTTGGAGCCTTGGGTTTATCATGGAATCACTTGGGTTGGAACAGCCCTCTCAGGTCCAACCATTCCCCCAGCACTGCCCATCCCACCACTGAGCCCTGCCCCAGGTGCCACATCCACAGGGCTTTTAAATCCCTCCAGGGATGGGGACTCCCCCACTGCCCTGGGCAGCTGTGCAAGGGCCTGACCTCCCTTTCAGGGAAGAAATTTTCCCTAATATCCAACCTAAGCCTTCCCTGAGGGACTGAAGGGAATCCCATTCTGGGACTCTCTGGTCCTTCTGAGCAGAATTGAACCATGTGGACAACCTGCAGAAGGATTAAAGGCATTTCTGGAGACTTCCAGGTGAGTTTTTGCTGTTCCCCCATGTCCCTCTGTAGGACAGATGTCTTTTCCTCCCTTGCCCTACCTGAAAGAGGTTTTGCCTGTGTCATCCTCAGCTTTGGGACTTTGGGGAGCTGAAGATTCACAGCAGAGCAACTTCCAAGACGAGGAAAGGAGAACTCACAGCAAAAGCTCTCTGAAAAAATGCATTGGCTGAACGCTCAGGAGCAGCTCTCAGAGCAACAGCTCTCTAAAGAAACTAAAAAATAATTTCCCAGTTTTGCTTTGGGTTGGGCATTGGGATTTTTCCCCTCCCCCTTGGGCACAAATAAATCTGTGAGCTGAAAGGAACATGTCATATTTTGGCTGGTTGCAGGAAAA